TGTATATATATGAGATGTGTATGTGTATAAATTAGGGATGGGCAACGAGTAATCGCATCCAAAAATAAAAGTTTGTGTTTACATAATATATGTGTGTGTGCGTGTATAATTATTTTTGCATATATAAATACGAGCACATGCATGTATATATTGAAAAATGTGTTCTTATATATATCAAATATTTATGCATAATATTAATTATGTATAAATATATATAAAAGTATATACATGCAAATATTCTTAATATATACAGGCATGTGTGTGTATTTATATATACAAAATAATTATACACAGTGCACACACACATATTACGTAAACACAAACTTTTATTTTGGATGCGATTTAATCGTTGCCCATCCCTAGTATAAATATTACGGTTTCCAAAAATATGCAGGAGCGCAACTGTTTTCAACATAAATAGAAATAATGAATAAAAAATAATAATAATAGAAATGTTTCTTGTGCAGCAAATCTTTGATCACAGGAATAAATTACTTTTGAAAAATATATTCAAAATGAAAACAGCTATTTTATTTTTTATTTATTTTTTTATCAAACAAATGCAGCCTCAGTGCATTTTTAAGAAAATCTTACAGACCTCAAACCTTCGAATGGATGGATGGATGGATGGATGGATGGATGGATAGATAAAGATATGATATGAAATATGAATGCTGTAGTTTGGTCATGAAAATATATTTATTAATGAAAAACCTACTTGTGTAAAGTCGATTTAACTTTTTCTTCATTTGTGTCTTTACAGCTTTCTTGACCGGATTGACGCAGTAAGACAAAGCGATTACACACCAACAGACCAGGTACTGTTTGAGCTTTTTCAAAAACACACACCGTTGTGATGAGAGACAGCTTTTTGTGGAAATGTCTCGCTCTTTATTTTCCAAAAACTGTCCTAGCCTAACTCTTTCTCTCAACCTTTCTTCTTTCAGGACTTGCTTCGCTGCAGAGTGTTAACATCAGGGATCTTTGAGACGCGATTTCAAGTAGACAAAGTCAATTTCAGTGAGTTCACTTATTAAAAAGCTCCATTAAAACATTTTAAAGACTATACAGTTTCGATAAAGTGTTGCCATGTCTTCGTATGTCACTAGAGGACTCATTTCACTTCCTATAAACCTCACGTCTCTGTTCTTCTCTCTCCAGTATGTTTGATGTCGGAGGTCAGAGAGACGAAAGAAGAAAATGGATTCAGTGTTTTAATGGTATGTGAATCTGAGTGTGTGAATTTATGTGTCTTACACCAGTTAAACAAGTGCCCCTATTAAGTCTCCTACAGCAGGTTTACACACATCCAAGGTCGACTCGTTTCAGCCAGTTCAGATGAGATTTATTTCTTTTGAGAGACTTTATCTCCATTTAACATTCGCAAAAAGTCATATCACACACACTACATGAAAGATAATATCCAAAAAGCATAATAGAGGCACTGCTGTGTGATCTTTAACATACTTTGATATTTGAAGTCCTCTACTAATATTGAGTTGTGTGGATCTGATTGGCCGTTTCTCTGCAGACGTCACAGCGATCATCTTTGTGGTAGCGAGCAGCAGCTACAACATGGTCATAAGGGAAGACAACAACAAAACCGGCTACGGGAAGCACTTGCTCTTTTTCGCAGTATCTGAACAACAGGTGAAACCTCTTATTTTCTCTCTTTATTTTCAGCTTGCTTTTAAGTGTGAGCGCAAGCTTAACTCTGGATTTTTTTTCCCCCTTTCTTTCTGCAGATGGTTACGAACAATTTCTGTCATATTGTTCCTTAACAAACAGGACATGCTGGCAGAGAAAGTATTAGCTGGGAAATCTAAAATTGAAGATTATTTCCCTGAATATGCTTGTTACACCATACCAGATAAAGGTGAGACTTTTCACCCAGACACACACATCACTAAAGACCCAGAAACAAAGTTTTCGATAATTTACATCTTTGGGTTAAAGGTATACAAGCTCCATAAACGTAGTCCAAATGACTTGTGCACTATTCAGTTTTGTGAACTGCTAAGGGAGACAATAAATGCTACCTTGACCTCGAATCGACTGAGTGATGTGCGGGTCAGTGTCAACTTCCCTGTGTGTTAATCTGTCGACTCTTCTGTTTTAGTAACTCCTGAACCAGGTGAAGATCCCAGAGTGACGAGAGCCAAGTTTTTCATTCGTGACGAGTTTCTGGTTAGTATTTTTTAATTGTCTATTGCAGTCACGGTTTAGACTGATTCACTTTGTTGTGCTTTTTCGGGCAGTTTATAATCTATTTTAGCAAAAATGTTCTGCACAAGCCACTTAATCCGCTAAACTGATAGTCGGTGCCATCTTGTGGACACCCAAAGAACAAACGTGCTGTTTACTTCATTTTCAGCATTAATCATTCATCATCCACACTCTCAATCATTGGATTGACTCGGTTGTGTACTGTAGATCATGCAATTCGGGGTTTGTGGGTTTGATAAAAAAAAGCGAATAATTAATTAAATGGTAAAAGTATCAAGTTTAAAAAAAACAAATGAAAACAAAAATAAAACATGATTTTTAAATCTATATTTTTATTTATTTATACTAAAATATATTTAGTAAATATTACTATAATAATAATTAATTATTAAACAATAATTATAATATATATTTATTAGGGCTGTGCAAAAATTAATTGCGATTAATCGCATCCAAAATAAAAGTCTGTGTTTACATAATATATTTGTGTGTGCTGTATATAATTATTTTGTATATATAAATTACACACACATGCATGTATATATTTAAGAAAATGTGTTATTCATATATGAAATATTTATATTTATATAATATGGATTATGTATTTATTAATATATTAAGAATTTAAGCGCAAATAATTCTTAAATATATACATGCATGCATAGGTATTTATATATACAAAATAATTATATACAGCACACACAAATATATTATGTAAACACAGACTTTTATTTTGGATGCGATTAATCGCAATTAACTTTTGCACAGCCCTAATATTTATATAATTAGTTGGGTTTTTTTTCCTTAATGAATTTGAATTACAAACACATTTTTGGGGGATTACCTGTAAACATCAAAATAATTTTTTGTAACGATACGAAACGCCTAACCGTTAGTCCACCTCTCCTTTCACAGAGGATCAGCACAGAAAGCGGAGACGGCCGTCACTACTGTTATCCCCATTTTACATGTGCAGTGGACACGGAGAACATCCGCCGGGTCTTCAACGACTGCCGAGACATCATCCAGAGAATGCACCTGCGGCAGTACGAGCTCTTGTGATCGCGTCTCCAAACTCCGCAGACAAAGAATACTACTGACGTTTGGCACACCACACTTCGGTTTTTAACTCGTTTTATTTCAACTCGTGATTCGATCGGCGGAGAGGGTCACTGGGTTTTCCCCCACGTTTTTATTTGGATTGCCTTTATTTTTGCCATTCCATGAAGCCTCTGGCTACCTCCTTATTTTTATTTTTTTTATTTTGCTGAAACAAAAAATGATATCGTTGTGTATATTTTCTGGCTCCTGCCAGATTATGAAGATCGCATCACCTTGTGACCTCCAGGAGTCCTAGTCTCGCACCCCGAACCTTGATCTTCTGACCTACAGGGCTCTCTGCTGCTCTTTCTGTTTCTGAACACTGAAGATCGCCCACGGGACAGAGGCGGGGACGGGGCGGGGGGGGCTAGGGGTTGTCGAACACTGGGAAAACGAAGTGAAGTAATGCACTTTTCCATCCGGTTTTGACTGACGTTTTTCTTTACGAAGATGGACACACAATGTAGCATCACATCATGAATTTCTGTCCCACTCCCACTTGCGGACAGGTCAGAGGATGGTGGGAATGACCACGCCCCCTTTCATTGGAAGTAGGCGGGGCGTTTGAAACGAGGAGGCGGGGCTCCGGGAACATTGCCGAAGCCTCGGTTTGCTCTCGAGAACATGACGGCAACACGTCCGTGACAAGAAACGCCCCCGTTTCTTATTGTTTTAGGTTCGTATCTTGTACAGACTGTGCAAGGTTGAATTGTTTTTTTTTTCCCTTTCCTTTCCTGTACAGACTATAAAATGTTATATTATTTTGTACAACTTTATTGAAAGAGAGTAAAAAAAAATCTACTTGTAGATCTTTGTGCCTTGATTATGGCTGTACCTGTAAATGAAGCTGATACATATGTTTTTGACTGCGCTGTACAGCTTGATGTCACCCCTGTCGGCAGAAGGGACTGTGGATGGGGACCTACTCTGTAGAGTTTAGTTTCTTTTCTTTTTTTTTCTCTCGTTTTTGTTTTTTCTGCTTTGTTTATATAAAAAGAGAAAAAAAGATCTTTATTAAAAAAAAAAAAATACAATAAATATAGGAAAGAAAATCTTAACCTGTATACATTATGCAAATTGACCCCCTTACCCGCGGTTATGATCGGACGAAACGGCACCACGCCTTTTTGTTTTTTTTGTTTTCCGTTTCATTTTAATTCTCAGCTTTAAAAATTGAAGAAAAAAAAGTGTCCAAATCACAACCTGGTGTTGTTTTCAAAGGAACCTTTTTGGATATGAAGTATGTCTGATTATATACACACACACGTTTGCGTCTGTGAGTGCGTGCGTGTTCACGTACAGGAGACAAACGTTGAGCCACAGATGCATGACATTTGTGTACGAGTGTGTGCGCGTGTGTGTGCAAGAGTGCATTGTGTGCACTCTTTTATAAATGTGCGTACATGTAAATTTATACGTCTATATAAATATATATGTACAATTCTACATGTTTAATTATGTGTGTGTTGGTGTATACATACTTTAGTATGTATACAGTGAAGATGTGTACTTACACACATAGGTAAGCATGTCTAGAGTGAAATGAATAAATGAGAGTGCAATATTGAAAGCAACTGTGCGTGTCCGACGATTTTCACCATACACAATATAGACAGTAAATCGTAAACTGAAAGTTTTTTTTTTTTACTTGTATTTCTTTAATATCAATATCATGTGATATCAGTTTATAATACACATCCAAATATACTCAATTTATTTTTTAGAGCAACAACATCAGAACTTCAAGATGTACATTTTTATTTATATTTATTCAAGTTTTTTTTTTTTCTTTCTTTTATCAGCTGAACACCTTTGGCATTCCTAATTTATTTTGCTTTTACCAAAACCTTTCAAACCATGTGATCCACCAAAACAACACAAATTATGTTACACATGCAAATTTTGGTTGATAAAATTTTAAGTTCAAACACGTTTAATATATATATATAGTATTACTCCAGTAAATCTCAAAACTTTTTAAATCTGTAAATACTATGTGCTTAAAGTCATGTTGCACAAGAAATACTTTTTAAAATAAATCTTCTAAAGTCATTAAATAGATTTTGTGTTTATGTTTCTTAAGTCTTAAAAATCTCCCACCACTATTCTTTTGTCCGTCTACAAAACCCCATACGTTCACATCTCAACACTAAAATGCTGACCACACTGAATAGTCTTCATTGCAAGATGACATATCCAAAGTTTTTGATACATTAACATAGACCTCCGATTCTCCGAACTAGTGCAATCAAAGTTGATCTGGATTTTCAAATATTTTATACTGAATATGTGTAGATATAATGCTGAGGTACATTAATTCCATACAGCACATACATGTCATTCGGATAAACCACAATCTTATTGTTGGAGTCCAAATAAGTTTAATTTGGATTTTTGACATAGTATTTCTTACTACATTGACCCGCCAAAATAAGCAATATTGTTTGGATTTAAATAGGCAAATAAGTAGCCCTCAAACCGTATTCACATTATAGCCCTTAATCCTGTAATTGTGGACAAATGTGGGCACAGAGGACTCAAGTGTGATCCTAATTTTTATTTATTATAAATGTTATATCACTGTCTTAGATAAAGTTTTGTCTATCCATTTATGGTGTTTTTTATTTTTTTATTTTGGGGGTGTTTTTGAATTTATTTACTTCAAAAAGTACCATGTTTTATATGTAAATTATGCTTATTTTTTTAACTACATTAAAATATCATTCTAATAAGTTGTTAGAGCTAAAACCTAAAGATGAAGCGACTTTGCTGTCTTATTTTGGCTTATTTTAGAATGCTCTAAATTACAGTTTTTCCTATTCATTTCTATGGGTGCCCATTTTGGACCCAAATACAAGATTAAGGAGTTTTTTTTTTCACCCACTTAACATTGTAGAATTGAGTCAAAAAAAATGTGTGTGTGTTCAGGAGGCAAACTTAGGAAAAGTAGCCAAGTCTTGTACCGCTCAGATCTAGGGAAGTATTTTTTAAAAATAAATCAACTATTTTGCCCACAATTGTCCAGAATACGGTTTTAGGGTTAAGGGTCTATGATTGGATCATTATTGAGTGATTATTATGGATCTATCATGTTATAAGTTTGGCAACAGTTCTTTTAACCCTAACCGATGGAGTGTGTAGCTTTTTAATTTTTTTTAAAACAACCATATAGGAAGACACATCATGGCCATATTCTAGGATGACAATGTCAAGATTCATCAGGCTGTTTTCCTACAGGGTTGTTTAAGAAAGGAAATGCTAAACTCTCCATCAATTAGGTTTAAAAGAACTGTTCCCAAACATAAAAATAATACAATGCATAGACTCTTAAGCATTTGCCTATTTAAATCCAAACAGTGACTTTTTGTTTTGTTTTGGCCAGTGTATAGATGTAGATACAGCACATAAATTACAGTCAGGTAAACCACAATCTTATTGTTGGAGAATTTGGATTTCTTGTGTATTTCTTAGTATGTCCTTTAGACAAAAAGACAGCCGTACTGTCCATATTTGCACATTCATGTTAAACTTGTAGTTCCCAAGTGCAGCTGCACATTTGATTTCACGCTCACAGGAACTAAAAAAAGTCTTAGAAAGGCATCGAGTGAATCCTATGCAAAAAGTGTCGCCTCAACATGGAATGATCCAGAAGCTTTGCGATTGAATTAGATTGCCAGATTTTACAGAAGTGTTCCCATTTAAGACTCGGGCTACTCCATGTCCTGATTTTGCACGCCGGAAACAAGCTTCGAAGATTCGATGCCTCTCGATTACTGCTTTTCGACCGGCTTCTTCTTGCTGATCTGAAGAGTGACTTGTCCGGTTGGTGTGTAGCTGCAGGTTTGCGCGGACACTTGCGTTTTGAAGCTCTGCAGACCTCCCTCCTTTCCTCTCTGGACCTCGGAGCAGTACGTCGGCTGGACGTCAAACCTCGCAAAGCTACTGGCGTGGCATGGTTCTTCCGTCACATGAATAGGGATGGTCTTCACGGATGAACCTGGAGTAAACATGCTGGAAATATGTTCCTTGAAGGATCCGAAGAAACCCACGCGAGGCTTTGCGGACGCCACTGGACGCCCCACGTGCAGCAGAATGGGTTTTCCGATGACCGACTCGTTTATTTCTCTCTGCAACACCGAGATCTCACTCGGCTTCTCAACAGGGACGTGATGGTCTGGACGGCTGCCGAAAGTCTCGCCTTCTTGAGGGACGTAGTCCTCGAGGTCTTCAAGAGTAAGAACCCGATTCCCATCAGTCAGTGTTTTGCAGTCTCGCGCACCAAGTTGGTCGTCTTCGGGCTCCAGGACGATAGTTCCCTCCTCGTCTTCATCAGAGTCGACCAAGACACACGGGTCACTAATATCTGCTGTAACGCTTGGGTAGATCGTCACATTGTCAACCTCAGACACAGTTTCCTCTTCATCCGTACCAGAAGATGCTTGTAGAAGCATTTCGGCACCCTCTACTAACTTGTTGTTGGAGTTATTAGTGTTTGGATTTCCAGGTGGTGACAACTTGCCGGGGGAAACGCCCCTTCTCCTTGGTAACTTGGGTGATTTGTTCACTTTATACTCGATTATTTCCTCGACTTCCACCCATCTCGGGTTCCTGGCCGTGGCACCCTCTGGATCTTGGACGTACAGTGTCGGGACGGTCTTCCTGGCCGGGGTTCGTCTGTGTCTGGGCGGTTCGGGAGTGGACGTCTCTGAGCGGTAAGCTCCCATGGGTGATGGTCTTGGGGACGCATGGCGTTTCATACGAGTGTTCTTCACCACTGTGGTGATGGTCTCCTCGCTTAAAGTGGAAAAAATCATATTTTTGAGTATGATTCATGATAGATGCACACAGTAGACAAAAATCTGCCATCAAATTTACAATCTGATACGTAAGGCCGATTTACACTTATCAATACTCGTATAATACATTTTGAAGAATTGTATTATATTATATTAAGATAAACTATTTTAACATATTTTAAAGTGTAATTTTTTTCCTTGATGCAAAGCTGAATTTTCAGCATCATTACTCCAGTCTTCAGTGTCACATGATCCTTCAGAAATCATTCTAATATGATGATTTGGTGTTTAAGAAACATTTATTATTATTTAATTGATAGAAAATGTAAAGAACAGCATTTATTTGTGTTTGCTTCGTAAAAGTATTAATAAAAAACATTCAGATACAGACCCCAAACGTTTGAATGGCAGTTTGTGTGTTTAGGTGCATGTTTGAGACTTACATAATTATGGTTTTCTTCGGTATTTTCGTCTCTTGTTCCGTTACTAGTTGAAAAACAACATATTAAATGAGTTGCATAATCAAACAAACATCACATTTATTTTAGCTATTCAATTTCAGTTAATTCACTGCTTGTCAAAGAGGTAGAAATATGATGCTGAAATATGAAAAATTAGGGGTGTAACGATTCCCTCATTTCACGATTCGATACATATCACGACACGATACGATATTATTGCGATACTCCAAGACATATGGTAAAAGGACAATGGTGACACCAGAATAGCAATATTCATGATTCTGAAGCTGAAATTACTAGTTATTGTAGATGAATATGCTTGCACGCTTTCATTGACTAGATATATTTAAAATAATGTCGGACACTTTTTACTGGCAACATCAGACATTTGGCATTATCAGGACCCACAAATATTCCCACATTGCATTATTATACATTATAATCAACATTATATATTGTACACTAAAACTCAGAAATCTTGAATTTTTATTTTGGGGGGACCATCCACAATACATATTGTCACTTTCCACGATACGTATTGTTGCATTTTTGTATTGCGATATATTGTGGCATGATATATTGTTACACCCCTATGAAAAATACATGGTCATACATTTATGTGACAATGGTTATACTTTATGGAACTATCTTTCATAGTAGCCCCTTTTATTAAAACCATTAATAACATGTTTTTTAATCCCTTTTTAGTAAGTGAAATCATAACAGATGGGAAAGGCTGTCATACTTTTATGGTTTTTTAATGAGGTGGCATATGTGTGTTGACAGGTGTCTCGTACCTTCTATAGTGATGGCCTGATCTGCTCTACGTTCTCCAGCCTTTGCCACAGCAGGAGTGATCAGCTGTGCCGCACACCTGGCACTGCCCAGACGGTTCGACAGCTGCAAATGAAGAATATGATGATCATTGGCTTAATTTCTCATGCTTGGAGTGAAGTAAGAACTGAAAGGACTAAAGTAAGGATGTCCATACCTCACATTCATAGTGTCCGAGGTCTCTTTCTCCAGGGTTCTTGATAACAAGAACCAACACTCCACTGCGTGATTCAGTGTATGTCTGAAACTTCTCCTGGTCTGTCAGTAGTTTACCATCCTTAAACCATCTGTGCAGGGAAATGCCATGGCTTAACACTAACCCAACACATTTTGTCAGTGAAATGGATGACATTATTGGGTTTAGTCATTTATGGAATGCCTTGATTGGAATTTTATCACATGTCTCATTATTGAAACATATACTTTCATTTAAAAGTTTGGCATTGGTAAAATAAATCTGATTGAATATTTTAATATATTTTCAGCATCGTTACTCCAGTCTTCAGTGTCACACGATCCTTCAGAAATCACTCTGATATGATGATTTGCTGCTCAAGAAACATGTTAAAAACAGTTGTGCTGCTTCATATTTGGAAAGGTGATAATTTTTTTTCCAGAATTCTTTGATAAATGAATACAAGTATATCTTTAATGACATTTAATTTTTGTTTAAACGGAGTCACTACCTTATCTTTGGACTTGGTGCACTCTGAATGGTGCAGGTGAACTGAGCATCTTCTCCTGGAAAGAGTGTGGCGTTCCTGATCTTATTCACAAAACGTGGAGGTACTGCAAGATACGGAATCAAAATCGACACAAATTTAAAGAAATCTTGTGAAACCAGCTTTACCAAGTTAGTCACGTCCGTCACTCACCCTGCACTGTGATTTTGCCTAGTGTGCTGGCGTTGCCCGCAGAGCTGGTGGCGAAGCACATGTACTGGCCAGAGTCGTCTGCCGTCATGTTGTCCAATATGAGTGTGCACGAGCCGTCCGGGTCCTCAATGATGATGTGATGAGGATCCGCTTCCACAGCTCGCCCGTCTGTTTGTGAGAGTCACGTGAATGAATTACTTTACTTCTTAGAAGACATCAAGAGGGGAAACACCCAAGATTTGGTTCCTTACCTTTGTACCAGGTGACCTGTGGTTTCGGGGCACCAGTGACCTTGCAGGCGAGCTTTACTGTCTGTCCAAGCTCTGCTGTTAAGTCTGTCAACACTGAGTCGAAATCTGGAAGGCCTGTAATAAAGGTAAAATGCTAAATGTTAGGACTAGGGTTTATTTAAGACCATGACTGTACTTACTGCCACCCTCCCACAGGTGGGACGCTTGCCATTATATTTTTAAAACAATATTACCTTAGAAAAGGTAAGTAATGTAATATTGACATATATATTATTTATATATATATATATATATATATATATATATATACATATTGACAACTAGATATCATTTGAAAGCTTACAATCTCTAGTTTCCATATTTGGTGACTGATTTTCAAAATAAATTACAGAGGAGCCGTAATTTGCAACAAAATTACAAAATTTGTTCGTTTGTAGCCTAACTTTACCTTTTTACTTTTGGCGATTGTATTTAAGCTTCAAAATGGAAAAGTTTTGTTCATTTGTGATGATTATCATGACGAACAAAACACGTAAGAATCATAAACCAATGGAGAAACCAAAAACAAGGAAAAAAACGAAAACTAGGGTTCATGCTAACGTTGGCGACTTACTCCACGCTGGCATGCTGAACCGCTGCTGAAGGTCACGGAGGTCACGGAGCCACGAGTTCTTGATGATGACAGTCCGTGCCTGCAGAGTGTATTTTCTCACAGAGTCCTCACGCTCATGCCAGATCTCAAATGCTCTCTCATCACCCTCCACAGTGTCGTTCACATCAACGTTTGTGAGCTAAAGCAAAACAATAAAATATTTTTTACAATATATTACATTTATACAGTATTATTTTTTGAGTGACGTTATGAGGCAAAACCAGTGATTACGAAATCCATAAAGACATTTATTATTCGATATTGAGCCATTTTGAATTATCGCCATTGGTGCTTGGCTTTGTGAATTTTTAGTAAATGTTGTGTAAAATACACTGCCCAAACGCAAATGCTTAAGAGTCTATGACCAAATAATTATTGCAGTGATTATTAATGTTTCTATCATGTTATATGTTTAGGAACAGTTCTTTTAACCCTAATTGATGGAGAGTTTATCTTTTCATTTCTTAAACAACCCTGTAGGAAGACACATCATGGCCATATTCCAGCAAGACTCATCTGGCTCAAAGGTTTGGAGGAGCATGAAGAATCATTTCCACACATGAATCGGCACCTCTGAGTCAATACAAGATCTTGAGCAAAAATGTATGCACCTCTTGATGGAAATAACATCACAACATTTTATTTCTATTAAAAGATTTGCTCAAGATCTTGTATTGACAATGCAATAGTCCAGCCCTCTGTAAAGTCTCCTCCAGCACATCCCAAAGACTTTCAATGACTCACTTTCACTGCAATTTCACTGACGCTTAAGCATTTGTCTATTTTAAATCCAAACAGCGACTTTCTTTCTGGCCAGGCGGTGTACGTGTGTCGCTTAATTACAGTCATTTAAAAAGCATTTGATAAGCTCTAACCTTCATCATATTCTTAAACACATATGTTTGGGTGTCCATATTTGTGTCTCTCTTCTGCTTGCAGATGACCACATGGTTTTTGAAGAGGAAAACATGGCGGTGGTGACCTCTGGAAGATGATCGAACTCCAGGAGCTCCTTCCCAAACAGTGAAAGGCCCCTGTAGAACAAAGAAAAATCCAGAACTTCACTACAAGCAAGTTACAATACAAGAAATATGAGAGCACTGTATGACATTTGAGATTAGGCACCATACCTGTCTGATAGGTTCTCCCAACGCCTCCAGATTGGCCGGGTAGTTCTCTATGAGAGATACATGGTGTGTGTTCTCTGAGCGCTGGGAGAGGGATGACACCATTGCAAAGGCTTGCTCCAACAAACAGCAGTTCTGACCGTTCTTTGCTTTGTTCCGGATCAATTCCTATAATGAAATCGGGGGATTGGAAAGGGATGCTCACTTTCAATTATTATGCATCACAGAATACATAAATATTCTAAAATGCATTTCTAGATAGTTATTCAAGTGGAAATTGGAGATTTTTCTTCACACAGAAACAAACGAAGTATTGTGGTATTCAAGTTTTTGTTACCTTCAGTAAAGCCCTGTACTTTAGTATTCTCTCTGGTGGTCTCTGAAGATAAGCATTGATACTGAGCACTGGACACTCTGAGGGGTCGACATTTGCCAACTCTGAGACTGTATAATCCTATTGGAATAAAGATTTAGAACATGTTATGTTCTGCGTCTTTTAAATACCAAATTAGTTTACAGACAAAGAAAAAATGTGTCTGTCACTAGAAATCCGTCACTATACTTGTCAGTATTTTTGTAAACCCACCTTGAAATATTGGTGCACTTCTTTCTCACTGATTGCGGACTCAGCCTGTGACTGTCCAATGAGGTACTGTAGATATTTCTCAAAACCTTCAGAGTTTTTTAAGAAATGCATGGCAATGTCATCATCAGTCTCACAATCACGCAGACCGGGCAGCAAAGAGCTGGAAAACAGACAACCGTGTTCATCAAGCTTTTTACTGTTGTCACATCTGTATGACAAATGAAGAAAATAGTTCTTTACACACTAAATTTTAGATTTAGGCCTGGTTTCACAGACAGGGTTTAGATTAAGCCAGGATTAGACCATTCTATGTTAGAATTCTATTAACAAATGGCTGAACGTTGTACCTGCTGTGGAAGGATTTTAAATCACTGATATTACGGAAGATGGTTTCCTTCTGGCTGGCGATATCAGGTGGTGTGCTCTCCTCATCCACGCGCTTCAGATGGTGTGATGTGAAAAACTCAATCTCTTTCAGAAACTCATTCTCTGTGTTGATCAGCTCCTGAACAAGTTGACTAGGTACAAGTGAAATGTAGAATGAGTACCTAGTAGTACAGAATAAAATGCACATTTTATGTGTTCAAATTTTACCAGAGTTTCTTCTTGTACTCGGTCTCGGTGACTTCCTCTCTGGTGGTCTCCGGGAGGTCCGCTACATCTGCAGACAGCTACAACACAACCAATCCATCATTAGTAAGAAATCATAAAGATGCACTAGTCATTACCTTATGTGCATTTTTAACCCTAGTGTCAAATTTAAAAATCACTAGTCCATTATAAATGACCCTAATTTAAGTTTTCATCAAATTAACCAGTGTCACCAGTTGCACATACATAGAATATATATATATATAATTTACATATTTACATATAGGCCTACATCATTTTAAAAAAATATTCTAAACAGACCTTCAGTCTTTTGTCAAGATACGCAGGTGAGACCCATCCCTGGCGAGACGGGTTGGATTTGGTAGGCTTGGTACGGACCAGCCATTTAAGTGGGTGGGCAGAGTCCAAAACCTCCACATACTGGCCCTCTTTCAGAGCGATGGTATCTTTACTGACACCCGTGGGATTGTAATCAGCTGTCACCACGTAGATATCAAACATCTGCACAGATAAATTGAGATAACAGTACATTTACAAAATGTGTAGTGCTGTCTTCACTTTAAAAACATGACAATGCTCCAGATTCTGCTTTTAAATATCCTTTGGTGAACTAAAGACTCACATAATAAATAATATGAACTACAATTTTTTCCCCAGTTTTACAATAAATGGTAAATAAATGTGTTTATTATTTAAACAGAATGCAACATGTCTGACATATAATAATAAATTTGTTGATGAGATCAAGAGTGTGATGCTTGTGATACCTCTCCCCTGGCATCTCCTTCATCCGATTCAGATGATGAGTCTGCGATGAGAGATGCAGGGCGTGATCGGCCGTGATGAGGAGATGGTGATGGTGTTTTTGTTTCATCATCACTGTCAGCTCCTGGGACACGTAATGAAGCTTGAAGCAGACAGTGATAAAAAGGTTAGAGGAAGAAAGAGATAATGTTATTATCAGCTCTGATGGCATGGGCTTTAGTATCACATGTGAACTAATAACATATGTTCAGATTATGGAATTCAATTAAAAATCAGCAGACTCAGCAAGTAGGGTCATTTAATAATATTAATATGGATTATAATTTTTTATCTAAAATAATAAAAATATATATAAAAAAATGTCCCCCATAGGGTTTACCAGGCCACACACACACCTTTAACATATAGGGCCTACTTCAGAATTTCAATCATATCCAAAATGTATCCAAAATACTTACTTGATATCGGCTATAGCCGATACACCTAAGAGGGCAGCATAATTAGTTATTCACATAAGATATTTGATAACTGATGTCTGTTTTAATTTACATTTAATCTCGCGATGAATCGCGATGACGAGTTCTTCTACTGTGAAATATTGCCGCCGTTTTTTAAAATAGTTAGCACAGCTAACGTTAGCTACTGAAAATTGTAGCTAAAAACAGTTACAAAAAAGTGAGACAGCCCGAAGAGATCAACAGTGCTAGGCCTAACATGGAATATCGCCAAAATGGACCCTGAGAGCGATTTATGAGGAAAACTGTCCAGTTTCGTGAACCTAAAGACAAGGTAAGCAGAATTATTCATATTTAGCCTACAATTCAAATTCGTGCGTGGCGTATCTTCTCGCTTCTCGTATAATAAGTGAACATTGTGTTTCATTTTGATCGTGTCTCTGGCTGGTGGGTGTCAGTAAAGATATTGACGGTGGTTTAAAAAGTTTGGGATCGACTAGAGTTTGAAAACAGAGATAATTGTGTGTTAGTTTACTAACAGTGTAACGTTGAGAATTCTTCCATTGCTCAATTTGAGCATATTCGAGAATATTCAGACAAGCTTTAGCCTGTAGTGTAGCTTATTTTGTAGAAACAGGAAAAGATGCAAATATGAATTGAGCTCACCTTTGAGGTCAGTTTTTTTTAAATCATCTATGGCATCTATGATATAATAACTACTGCTGTAAACCATGTTTCTCCTGTGCTTTAACATGCACTGTCATGCTTGTGCAAAACCAAAATTGTGCCCACACAACATTAATATATCGCTCATGCAAAAATCCTTTATCTAAATGAATATGGCAGTGAGCGTTCATCCATTTTCTCTGTGTATACTGAAACAGAGACACCTTGAAAGTGTAAAAATGAGACACTGAATTTCAAAATGTCCAGTTTATTCTGTATTGTGACAAAATGGCCCTGATTTTAAAGAACCATGACTTTATTACCACTTGGCCATACTTAAAGCATTTTGTACGTTACATTTTAGATTTAGGTGTTTTCTTTCTTTATTTTTTCAATGGTTAGAACCCAAGAAATAGACAAGCAACGTGATTAACAACAGCATAGCCTCATGGAGAAAAAGTCAAAGTTCTGGTGTAATACACTGAAGGTTCTGCGGATACATACTGGTTACTTTGGGCCAAGATTTCATCCACTGGAGCACTTGATGGTTCTGTAAGCTGTCTGAACAAATCAATGCTTCAATGAGAATGTGACTGAATAGAGGGATGAGAGGATGGATGGATAGTTTGATGGATAGACAAAAGAATGGAGTCAGTGAACTGCACAGGAATCGGGGGATCCAGAAAGATAAGGTTTTATATATATATATATATATATATATATATATATATATATATATATATATATATATATATATATATATATATATATACTGTTTATATATGGAAGGGAAGTCCAGAAAATTATGCTCACAAAAAAGTCCTGAGTATAATTAATGATTTAAAAAGTGAATATTTCAGTACATCCTGTGAGATGAATTCAAAGCATTTGGGCACACGCAAAGCTCATTCAAAAACAGTGCATACTGTTTTGAGTGAATTTTAGGATGCATTCTGTAGAGAAAGACTACATTAAAACAATAAATTGTTATTTTGCACTATTGTTACTTATGACATCAAGAATGATACTTTAATTTAAAAAAAAAGTACAGCACAAATAGTACACACATTTATACACAGTGTAATTCACAGTAAACTGTGGTAGTGCAGGTTACAAAAATATTAGCTCAATATTGTTGGCTGAAAATTATTGTTTTCTCTTACCTTGGGTGAACTTGGCTGATACCATTTCTGTGATTTGGGTTGTGAGTTTTTGTAAGAATTCCTCTGTACCCACTTCACCCATGTAAGGTAGTTTGATCTCTCCTAAGATGTTTTCAAAAGAGTCACTTATATTGTAGTAAATTACATCAGAACTACCTGATGGCAGTCACTCACTCTGATATAATCTGACAGCCCACTAAAAGTATAAAGTAGTTAAAAATAAATTTAATTAAAAACTTAAAACAGAAAATCATCTATCAAATATTCACCTTTGGCCACTTCCTCCGGTGGGCTAATAGTAATTCCCAGAACCCTGGAGAAGAAAATATTATAATTAAACATTAACATCCAAATGTGTAAAACTGTACAATGTTTAGATTAATAAAATAATTTAATTGATAGCTGTAACCTTTTAAATTTAAACTTACTGTGGCCCCACTTTGCTCTTTTGCTCTGGTGCTGTTGGATAGAAAATTATAAGCATGATGAATAAAAGACCAGGTTATTTATTAATAAATCCATTTAAATTGGTACACATACCAGAAATATTCTTGGTATAAAATAATATTATATATTAATAATAATAATATCCTGACATCACTATCGTCTATAACTAAACCATGAGTTCCTGACCTGTCTCCACATCCAGCCGGGCTGTGTTAACCGACTGTCCAGCACGGTTGGTGGCAATGCAAGTGTACATGCCACCATGATTTTTTTCCACTTCCATAAGGATTAGACTATGCTGACGGCCAGAGCTGGCCACCTTGTAACCTGGTGTGTCTGCCTTGATCCACAAAACATCCTTATCTGACACTTCCTTTAACCAGTTCACAGATGGGGTTGGGGAACCTTCGGAAGACAGTGACTTAGCATGTTTTCACCTTTTGTAACGTGCAACTAAACATTACTGTATTTCTCAAAATTGCATGTAAATTAATTTAATTTATTGTGGTAACACGCCATACCTTCCACTTTGACTGACAGCGTTATACTTGCTCCCTGTTTCACCTTCTTGTTGCTGAACCTCTCCAGAAAGCGTGGTGGCACAAGTGGCACCTTTGGATCTATTTGTGGAAAAATGCAAGTGGCATAGCAAATGATATGCATGCTTAATCTTTCTCAAATTTCAAAATGCAGTTGCGTTCATACCATATGGAACAACGACTCACAATGTGCTGTGTGCAAGAATATGTGACATTATTACAGATGTTTACCTCTCATTCGTCCCTGTTCAGGTGCCGGGCGCTCTCCAGGAGCTAGCAAATGGAAATCATGTAAACAAACAAACATTTTAGCATTTTTTTAGCACATTATAATAAAAGCACATTTTATTTGAAAAAATCACTATAATGATCATTTACAATATAATTTCACCATGCTTCCAATTCCTATCAAAGACCCCATGGAAGTGACACAAAAAGGCTTAAAGCTTAAAATGAACATTTACCCAGTACATTCAGTCGTGCTGAAGAGTAGGCAGATCCAGCTATATTGCTAATGTATGCGGAGTATTCTCCGGTGTCCTCCCGCTTAACATCCAAAACCTCAAGACTGTGCTGATCTCGCACGGTTGACAATATAATTCTGCTGGAGGCTTGAAGTGGGGTGCCATCTTTGAACCAGTAAACTCTTGGTGAGGGAAATCCTGCAGAATGGTGTTGAAACATGAAACTTCTGCAATGTAACAGCTGAAAATTAAAGTCGTCTTAGATACAAAGCTATGTAAATGTGTATGAAGAACATAAACAAGGTAATTAAAAATAGGATGGCCAGAAAAAAGAATGTAGGACATTAATGTCATGCTCAGAGTGGCTGGATTTGAATAGCAGATACAACAAGTGCAGATGTAAAAAAGCAAACACTTGGAATAAACAGTGCATAAATAAACAAAATAGAGATAAAATAGATTCTGAAACAAAAGAATTAGCATCCATGAAAAAAAAACATAACTGACCTTTGACCTTAACACTCATTTTGGCAATGGGTGCTCCAGGACTGAGGAATAAATCGTGCAACTCATCCAAAACCTGAGGAAGCTGCTCATCCTCTGCCACAGACTCAAAAGCCTCTGTGTCCCTGTGCTCCGAGCTAAGAGAGCAAACCACACAAAAGCAGAAGCCCGTGTAAAACTAGAGACTTGTTTTGGCTGGATTTGTGCAAAATGTATTGTGTACTTGTAATATTGACATGCTCTCACCTAGACACATAGCCTTTAGCACTGACATAGGAAGACGTCTCTGTGGCATCAGCTGCTGTGTCATAGTCTGAGCTGCAAGACACTTCAAAGATACACAAGACTGAATCAATGATTTGTTAGAAATAATAAAGCCTTCATCTTAAGTATGTTAAAAATGTAGGGGCATTTTGGGGACATCTACAGGCAAACAATGAGAATTCTTCTTACAAAACGCATGCAGTTGCATTCTTACTCTTCACAGATGCACCGGTAAAAGAAAGTGCCATCTTTGTTAAAACGCTTTAATAGTGGATTACATTGCTTTCTCATCTATATTTGATTTGACACTTTCTTTTAACAGTGTACTCACTGTCCACTCTCAGCTCAGCCTTGCTGGAGGCGATGCCACTGTCATTTTCAGCCATGCATCGATATACGCCCATATCTGTGGGAAGCACAGCTGTGATGATCAGCTGGTGACGACCTTCCTGGTCTTCATTGATCATGTAGTGGTCGTTTTCCTCCAACAGCTTTCCATCCTTGAACCATCGCACAGTGTGAGGGTGTTTGCCAGCAATTACACAGTCAAAACTGACTGGAAATCCATCAGGAACATCCTGGCTACGAAGCTCCGTCAGGAAGACGGGGGCCGCTGGGAGGTTGGTGGGGGATTAAGATAACGATGAAGAGCAAACAAAACCGAAAAGAAGAGAACATAGCAATTTGATGCAGAACCAGGCGAAAAACATGACATGCCACCACTTTAAGATCCAAAAAACAAAGCAAGTCACAACATTTTTGTAAATATCAAAAGTGCTGCCCTATAATGTGAAATAAAATCCAGTACTGAACCATGCAACTTAATGAAGAACCAAACAACAGCAGCAAAAACAAAACCAGATGGAAGAGGGGTCATACCAGGGGTTCCTGTCATGAAAGAAGGCATCGGTCGGTCCTGAGTTGGGGTTTGGGAGCCATCTTGGGAGAGGCCCATCTTTGTGATACGCAGCTCTACCTTAGAACCTGCTGCTGGTATGACGATCGTTTCGATGGGCACTCCTTGATAAGTAAACATTTCCTGGAAGCGCTGGGAAGCCACTTGAGCTTCTGCACGGTTATCAAAGCGGATGTAGATGTACTGATCGTCTTCCCGGTAAGACTGTAGATCCGGTGGCGGTAAATCTCCTTCATCCGCACTCAAAAAAGGTTCCTCCTCCACATCCGGAGGAAGGCGAGTGCGAAGAAGACGCCGCAATCGCTTACTTGCCTGACGTAAAGTCTCATCCATCTCACTCCCCGAGGAGCTCTCAGCTTCACTGTCTGCACTGTAGCCTAGAGTGAGGGGTCGTCGCCCAGAAGATTCCCGCATTGACCCTATGGTGACTTTACCACTATGGGTGGAAATGCCAAATTTATTGGTGACTTCACAAGTATATACACCTGTGTCTTTGGTTGTGGCAGCTGTCACTACTAGAGAGCAGGTACCATCATTATAGATATCAATATGGTGGTGCTTGCCGTCTACTAAGGGTTCACCATCCTTTAGCCAGCGAACTTTATCTGGCTTACCCTCCACAATGCACTCGAGATGAATTGTCCCATTGGGCTCCTTAGTCTGCTCTTTGAATACTTCTTTGAAGACTGGTCGCATGTCCTTTCTGGCTTTATAACCTTTGAAGGCTGCCTGAATCTTGACAGCAGCATCTAGCAACTCGTCCCCTTTCTGAGCTTCCATGAGGGGCTCCACAGAGGTCTTTGTAACAGATTGCTCAGTCATCTGGAAGTGCTCATACAGTTTCTTGGAGGCAGTGGTCTCAGTGTGACTTTCCACTGTCATCGAGGAATTGCTGCTTTTCTGCAGGTAAGACACCAAGCTTGTTGTCCCACTGAGAGATTCCTCATCAGAACTGGTATAGAGATTAGGCTCTGCTGTGATTTTGGGAGCTGGCTCAACAGGTCTCTCTTTCTCTTTCGCTTCTTTTTCAATAACTTTTTCTTCTTTGCTTTGTGCCTTTTCTTTACCATCTTCTTCTGGTAATTCTGAAATTGAATCTAATGTGGGTTCCCGACTCATTCTCCTCTTCTTGGCCACTGCCTCCCACAAAGCATGTAGGTCTCCCTCAGAAGCAGCTTCAGGAGGCAGTTTGGGCTGGCTGCCTGCATCCTGACAAAGTGTTGTACCATCTCCTGTAATCAAGGAGTCATAATAAATCAGTCTCACTTACTGTATGCATATGGTAACATTTTTATGTTGGACATAAAGTTAATTAAATACATCAATAATGTGTCTACGCAACAGCAATTGATTAAGAAAACTCAGGTAATCTGAAGGTGTGAATAAAGAATAAAGTAGCATTATAAACTGAAACAATAAACGAAACGGAAGAGCTAAAAACATTGAATTAAAAATTAAAAACAAACAACCCACCCACCCAAAGAGACTTTAGGAAGAGGAAAAGGAGAGCAAGTTAGATGTAGAGATTAAGCTAAATAAAGTACCTTCAAGGTTGAGGTTGATTGAAGTCTTTGCCTCATTTGAGGCAACACAACAATAGACACCCTGGTCTGTAGGCTGGAAATCCTTAATGAGCAAAACTTGGCTCTTGCCCTCTTCTACCACTTGGTACTTGGCCCCAACCTCTATCTCTCTGTTGTCCTTGTGCCATGTGACTGATTTACTTTCTGCAGAAAGTTCACACTCCAATTGAACCATCTTTCCTTTTTGGAGCTTAGAGCTGGTTAACATTTTGGTCATGGTCACTGGTGCATCTGAAGACCAAAAGAACATTCAAAGAACAGTTGAAGAAATGCAGCAAGAACTCAACAAGAACAAATTATTAGTTACAAAAATAGAAAATATACTTATTTGGAGTACTTTTTAGTGTTATATTGCACTGCAAAACCTTTTGAGGAAACTGATTGCATCAGTTAATTTAGATGAGCTTATTTCATATTAATTCACTAAAAGTATATTTCCTAAACTCCACTCACATGTTTTAAAATGTTAAAATGTCAAAATGTTTCTCATTTAAATAATCTGCCTACAGAACACGCAAAAAAAGATTAAGCTGGGCTAGAGAAGAGCGTTGTCTCTGTTTAAAATAAACTTAACAGGATTGAAAACAATGTTCCTGAACATTATAACCTCAACGTTTGTCTGTGCACTGCACATTTTACAGCAGACAGAGTACAATGCAGTCTATGCACATAATCTTCTCCTGAAAGACGTAGCCGTTCCCACAATCTGTTGTTTATGGATCACAAGTATGTCTTATTATTTGCAATTGTGTTTTTTCTATTAGCAGTTTCAATTTTACATTTTATGACCATTTTAGACCATTTCTTTTTTATTCTGGCCACAGTCCGAGGTTGTGATCGAGGCTACAGCATTTACGGCGTCTGGCAACCTTTTGCCACTCAAGTGCCTTTTTGGCATTAGTAATGCACACTGTGCCCTCCAAACAACATTTTTCTCCTCTTTTCCACCTTGCCAACGATAACTTGTACTTCACATTGAGTGAAGTTACGTTTTTTTTAAATTCCTCTCTGTGTTTAACATGATTTCGCAATTGATGAATATTAACTTGTGGGCGTTTCACGGACTATTTATGGGCAACTATGGGCGTGACATGAAGCCGCAAAAGCTGCGCTATATTTAGAATTGATTGTGATTTATTCAGGGAAAAATGCGTAGGATGTGCATGCGCACGGTTGTATAAATCCGAATATTTCTGTGCGTACACACGTCCTATGTTTCATCCGTACGCAACTTCTGACGCAAATCCTACGCAAAGTTTTATAAATTAGGCCCAAGGAGTGAGGAACCCTGATCTAGGGCAGACTGCTAAAAGCAAGCCTTCTACACAGACTCATAGAAGCAGTTGGGTTAGATTAACATATAATATACTCACAATGAACTCTATAAGGTTGCTTCCGATAAATTGGTCAATTCAGTGAGTATCCACTTACCAAGTGTCACAGTTTGAGGCAGCTGGACAGGCTCTCCAATGCCAGCACGGTTAATGGCTGCCACTCTGAATCGGTAACCTGCCCCCGGTATGAGGTTTTCAACTAGAAATTCAGTATTGCACACTGGTTCTGTGTGGCAGGGCAGCCAGAGGACACTGTCCACTAGACGCATTTCCACCCGGTAACCAATGATTGGGCTTCCTCCATCATTGAGAGGGGTGAACCAAGACAAGGTAACAAACGTTGGGCCTTTACTCACCAGCTCTGGATCTTCAGGGGGATCAGGCACAGCTACAAAGCCAGACAAAATTAAAAAAGGTTAGTCAGAAAGTAATGGTAGAAAATTGTAATGAATGATGCACAAACCGACTCTTACCAATTGTGGTGAGTTTGGCCATGGATAATGCATCCCTCGCTGCAAATGTGATTTCCTGTGTGGGTTGAGCCTGGGCTTTCTTCAAAATGAGGCTGTAGGAAGAGCCACTGGCTCTCATGGCCCATTGGTCATTACGTTGAAGCTCAACCCCATTTGCATACCAAGTCACTTCACTCTCAGGCACAGCTTCATTCAAAGCACAAGTGAACTCAACTGGTTCTCCTGCAATGGCGGTCTTATCTTCCAAAGGCTTGACCACCTCCAGTTGCCAAGCTGTACAGAACACATTCATAACATTTAAATGCATTTACATTTATGCATTTAGCATCATATTTAATATATGATGAAACTAGAGCATGAAACTAAAACATAAAAGAGAAATGCCATACCTTTGACAGAGAGAAGAGCAGTAGTTGATGAAGTTCCAGCTTGGAATGTAACCTTTGTGTTTTCACAAGGATGCAAGTCCTTTAAGAGCAGAAGATGGCGTCGGCCACTCTCAAAGGAAACGATCTCTACCTTTGCCGACTCCTTTACAGGCTTGCCATCGACTAACCACCGGCAGTCTTTGGTTTCAGGACGTGACAAGGCACATTCAAAAAGTGCTTCCCCACCACTAATGGTTTCCATGTTACTCAGCTCTTGGAGAATGTCAATGGGTTTAGCTGCAAAAGAAACACAATACCTGAAAAAACACTGGTTTTCAACATACCAAAACAAGTTGATGTAGTATATAACTGATTGACCTTAGATGAATAAAAATAATAACTTCTGACCCTAAAACAATAACTGTTTATTGCACAATCACACTTGATTCTTCCAACATTTCACTAGTATGTAGCATTTAGTATTGAGTAGCATAAAAAGCAAAGGTAGCTGCAATTAAAGCTCATGATGGTTACTGCATAGCCAGCCAGACGAAAAACAGCAATTTTTGACTTGAGTATAAAAAAATGTTTTATTTGTGGGTGAATATTAGCTTAAAAATTGATTAAAAAAAATGTCAAATGTACTAAATACAAAATGTTGCAAAAAAACCCCCAATATATTCTGGAAGGAAAAATAACTGAAAGTTTTTATTTAGTAATTCACTTTTTTTATAAAGTCATGACGTATTAGATTTTGAAATTGGTATGGAGTATTATATTTCATTGACTACTGACATTTTGGTATCGTGGTCATGTGAAACCATCAGCATCAAATTGCTAAAGACTTGTCCTTGTAAAACCCTTTTTAGTAAGCCCTTATACTGAGTCTTTGTGATGATCCAAACTTTTGAGTTATGAATGACACACAGATTCTCCTCGTCCACAGGTGTGCTCACCTTGCACCCTGAGATGTGCCACAACAGAGGTTCCTTCTGCCTCACAGGAGTACATCCCCCCATCCTGAGGCTCCACACAGCTAATGTACAACCTTGCAACAGTCCAGTCCTGTTCCACTATTACCCTGCGACCGTCTGCTTGCACAGGTATGCCGTTTCGCTTCCATATGGCCTTGACTGGCCGGGAATACTGACAGATGAACTCTGCAGGCTGGTTCTCTGCTATGTGTTGGTCCTCCATTGCACTGACCACCTCCACATTGGGATCTATAGAGGGTTGGTGGTGGGGATAAGTAATTTTCTCAAAACCCCAGTGCACTTTGGAGTAGAGTTCTTCACCTCAATCCTCTTTGAGATATTGGGTGGTATTTAATCTAATTTGCAACTGAAATACAAGTCTCAGCAACCTTTGCAACTTCATCATCTAAGTCACTGCTTAAGCATTACTTAGTTATCACTAGTATGGTAAGGGTATCATCTTTTGCTTCTCTACTCCAAACTGACCAAGGACATGGTCAATTACAACCAATTGCCTAGTTGCAGTGTCAAGTCAAACTAAGGCCAAATTCTAGAAAAAGTACATGCAGCACAAAAACAGAAGCGTAGTTAAGATTGATGAGTAGCCTACAATGGTCTTTTCACGAGTTCACATTTACATACAATTAGAGGGAGTACAGTTTAATGCGTAATATTATTTAATGCGGAATTCATCCCGAACCCAGAGTACTGTCCCCTCGTATGTAAAGGGTTAGGACTAGAAGAGTGGAGAAGGGGTGGTGGAGGGACGCAGCTAAACTGTCAATGGATTGAGGTGAGACTGCTGAATCTATATACACCGCTTATCATTGATTGCTGAGTGCTCTTCACCTGTGTTAATTATCTGAAAGTGGTCCTCCCGAACTTTGTTAATAAAACATCATATTGAGAGTCTATGTAAGAACATTTTTCTTTTAAAGTTTGCACATTCATTTAGTAGAATTAATTACATATCTAAAATACTGTGATAAAAAATTAATACAGCATTTTTGCTGGTCTGCAGTCAATTCAGGCCTATATGCCACACCAGTGAAATGCTTCTCATCAAACCACATATACTGAGAGTAGGCAATACATATTCAAGTGTTCATACTGTAGCTGATTCAGACCAACAATAATATATACTCTATATGTGATGCGATCTGGGAAAACCCATCGGATGTCGCGCTCCTAATACATCCTAATATCTTAGCGACACTATACTTTCTTTAATAAAAAATAAATAAACTATCTTCACAGCTCGACAGTAAGGATTTGCACGTTTTTAAGTCAAACCAATTGCAACGTCATTTATATTAATACAAGGTTACATAGGCCTAAAACAATGAAAACAACAACTTTTGGCAGGACCAGTGAAAATTTTGTCTGGACAAGTAAAAATCTGAACCACTGGCCTGACCGGGCCAGAAGAAATAATCCTTAGCGTTGAGCCCTGGTCCATATACAAATCCAAAATCATTGTACTAATTTATTAATTAGTATGCCGATTTAGTAAGTAATTAGAAAGCCAAGATATTGCAGCCAAAGCTACCGTTTAAGGTTAGAAATACACGGCACATTAACTACACGCATCCATGAATTTCCATTAAAAATAGATATTTTTGTTTTCAACCTTACTGTATACTTTTCCTAATAGTAAAGTGTCTTGGCAGCTAACAAAAATATTACATCCTAGGCATGGGTAACCCAAAAATAGATTTAAGGACATACAAATCTTGTTCTATCAGGATTGCATTATTGAGCATGACACTGAACCGAAGGATTCTCCAGTGCACTCTGTGCAAAAATACTTTGGATTAAGATTAGTATTATTATTATTTTCAGTAATATGAGTCTACAGCATATATCAAAGAACACAACAGTAATCAACAACTTAAAGGACAGATTGTGACAAAATTCTAGATTTATGGTCCGACTGTAACTTATAAAAATCAAGAAATGTAAAAAAAAAAAAAAAAAGGCAACCCAAATGCTTCAAAAAATGAGTAACTGACTTTAAAAGTTAGGAAATTCATGAACACAATATTAGTCAGTGCTATTTATTTAATTTTAAGCCTTTAAATCGCTCTGCCAAGTGCTACTATGCCCCTTCACCCCGTTCGGTACCTTTCACTAACAGTTTGGCGGAGGATGACAGGCCACCTGTTTTGAACAGGACTGTACCCGAATCATTGGGAGAAAGGTTCCTTAGGGTGAGAGTGTGGACATGGTCTTCACCCACACTTATTTCACTGAAGGTACTGTTCTCCAAACGTGTGCCATCTAGCCACCACTGAACTCTGCCTTTGGCATGGCGAGAGAGCTGGCAGGAGAAAATTGCCTGTTCGCCCACAAACACATCTGTATTCTTTATACCCGACACTATGAGGACCTCAACCTCTGCAGAGACCAGACACAGAAACCCTTAGATCACCACTGTCTAAAAATACAGTACGCGCATACATTGAGTAGCCTATACTTCATAAACATAATGCAAACTTCATAAAGACATTAGAGCATATTCAAAAAGCTACAGATTTTAAATAACCTCCAACATGTATGAGATAATTCTGTCTGTTTCATCTATAAATGTACTAAAACGCAATATGCAATTGACTTAAGAGTGTTATTTGATACCTTGCACTGTGACTGATGCTGTGGTCAACTGGTCTCCAGCATCACAAGTGTAGTAGCCATTGTCCTCTGGTTCCAGATCATGGACATGGAGCTCCAGCACACATCCTTCCTGTTTCATCTCAAACTTCTTACTGGGTTGGAGCACCACTCCACCCTTTCTCCATTCTACACTTTTAACTAGTTTAGAAAGTTCACAGCGCAATGTGATACTATCTCCCTCTATTGCATTCTGGTTCTCTAACTCCTTCTGGAAGTATGCAGGTTGACCTGATGATGGATGAGAAAAGAAGTTGAAAGAATGTAATTGTCAGATTTTAAAAATGCTGCCAATATCTGTGAAGGAATCAAAATCTTCTTCGTTCCACAAGAGAGCCAGTTACAAAGCGAACGGAAACTAGAACATAAGTTGGTTCTTCTTGGAATCTGTGTTCACTTTCATAGTCAACAGGCATGTTGATAAATTTAAGGCCTACAAACCCATTTACCTTTTACAGTAAGGGTGGCGCAGCTTTCTGCATCTTTGGTTTTGGATGTATACACCCCTGCATCCCCTTCCTCCACCCTAAGGATGCGAAGCTGATGGACGGCTCTATCCTTGTAGAGCAGATACCTGCCCCCTGCCTTTATCATCTCCTGCTCTTTGTACCAGGTGACAGAGGCCTCAGGGTCGGAAGTCATGCAGGACAGTGTGACTGTTTGACCCTCTTTGGCAGTCAAGTCCAGAGGCTTCTCTAAGAATACGACTATGGACAGGAGAAACCCAAACCCAAGTGCTGTCACATCATATTGTCTACCTGAAGACTCTGAAACTTAGACACTTGAAGCCATTGAACAGACACAGTGATACACTCTAAAAAATGCTGGGTTGTTTTAACCCAACTTTGGGTCAAATATGGACTAACCCAGCCGTTGGGTTAAATTTTTACATTACATTTTTAACCCAACATTTCGGGTTTGTCCATATTTGACCCAAAATTGGGTTAAAACAACCCAGCATTTTTTAGAGTGTACACTAAAAAATCTTTACTGAGTGAGAAACTCATGCTTTAACAATTATGGATAGGAATTGGAGAAAAGACAGCATAGATACCTAAATTATAAAAAGGGAATATTGAACCAAAAAAATGGATGAGAACTACACAATTTTGGTGTAGATGTAGAATGGCCAAAGCAGATGGAAAAGCAGCTAGAAGCCTTTTGTTATGATAGCGCAAAATGAATGCAGCTACTACCTAATGACAGACAGATGATTGCTTGCCACCAATGAACACTGTTAGCCATAAGAGTCTTTTACCTTTGGGTTTCTCCTGCACCATCAAGTAGGCAACACTCTTCTCAGGGCCAACCACAAAGGCTACATCACCTGAATCATCGGGTGTGACCATTTTCAGCACTAGGCTGTGTTCCCTTCCTTGGGTGCTGATTTGATTTAAGTCATTGTTTTGAAGGTGGTTGGAGCTGAGCCACCACTCAACATTCGTAACCCCTGTTTGGGACACCTCACACTTGAAGTTAGCATCCTCGCCCGTTATCACAGTCACATCCTTTAATTCTCGCGTGATTTTAACACATTCTGGGAAGGAACGTGATGAAAGGGACTTTTGAGGATCTTCCAAAAAGTCAAATGAGGTAAATTTCTCACCACTGACTTGTACTTATGGCCTGGTTTCACAGATAGGGCTTAGATTAAGCCGGGATCAGGCTTTAGATCATTTAGGACATTGAAGTAGCTTCAAATGTGCCTTAGAAAAAAAAAACGCTACTATTGTGAAACTTGAGAAAAAATAATTGGACTTGACATTTTTTAGATATGTCAGTGCAAGTTGCGTTCAATTAAAACAGATATGCATTGTAGTCTAGGACTTGGCTTAAGCCTTTTCTGTGAAACCGGGGGTATATCTTTTAGTACTTTTTATCTACTATAAGTGAATGAGAATGTGAGAGGATGTATTAATCCTCCAAACAGTGTAGTTTATTATTATAAACGTAGCATCATGCTATCCTCATTAGTTACCTTTGACAGTTAATGTAGCTTTGGTTCGTTTGTCTCCTGCTTCGCATGTGTACTCGCCACCATCTTCCACTGATAGCTTAAGGATCTCCAAGGTTTGGATTGTGCCATCCCTCTTCATGGAATATTTCTTTCCATCAGATAGGAACTGAGTGCCCTTCTTCCAGGTCACATTGGCACCAGGGATAGAGGTTTCGCAGCATAATGAGGCACTGCCGCCCTCTGTGACTTCCTGGCTCGTCAACTCCTTCGAAAATGATAGCACGGGGATTTCTGGCAGGAAACAGTGATACATAGAACACATTCTTAGACATGTGCCTTAAACACCCTAAACCTGAAGATTATGGGGTGTTAACAAATTTCCTTTGCAATTTCTCAGCCAGGTACAAAAGTAAGCCTAACTAATGCTTTTTGTTGCATTTCTGTTATAGATCGTGTAATATCGTGTAATATATAGAATGTAATATCCAAAACTCAACATACTAACAAGCAATGGTTAAGATAAGACATATTTGACAATTGAAAACAAAACAGATAAAATACATGCTTAAAAAGTTGCTGGTCACATTTTTATTTATGTTTTGCAATATGATGCATTAAAGCATGCATCAAACAAAGATAAATGCAAGATATATTACATATGGAATATATATATATGGATATAGGATGATCAGACACACTAAACACGTGCACAACAGTGCATGTGTTTGAAACCCACTGTGATCAAAGAGTGAAAATAAATACATCCAAAAAGTTCTTCAGTTTTACCTCTGACTGTAAGACAAGCAAAAGAAGTGTGGGCACCCACATGGAAGGATACTGTGCCAGAGTCTTTCTGGGTGACACTTCTTAGTGTGAGTGTGTGCCTTTTGCCGTCCATTCGGATTTCATTCATCTCATTGTTCTGTAGTGGGACGTCTTGCAGTGTCCACTGAACAATGAGTGCATTATCATGAGAGACAAGGCATTCAAAATGAACGTCCTCGCCTTCATTAACAATGCAGCTCTTCAAGCCAGTTAAGATTGTGATTTCAGGTTCTGAAAGCAAATTCAGGTTCAAGAAATCAACATGTAGTACAATATTCTAAAAGTAAAAATATCAGTAGTAGTCAATATGCCAAAAAATAGATAAATAAACTACCTCGGTATTGATTAAACAACCAAAACAAGACAGCTATCCATTAAAATAAAACGTTTAAATTGCAAAGGGAAAAGTGTATAACGTTGTTATGTTAATCGGAAAAAAAAAACTCGTAAGTGCGAGTGCATTGGAGAAAGTTTAAATTCAAAGTGCAAAACCACGTGCAAAGAGTAGGTGCTTAAAGTGATCTGGGAACGGTGGCAAGGATATCAAAAGAGAAGATGGATGGTGTAGTATTGAGGATGGTATGGAGTAGATGTGTGATCGTCAAAATAGAATGATAAGGTAAAGTTAGGAGAGATGAGGACTTTTATCAGGTGATTCCTACCCTTCACGGTGAGTTTGGCAGATGTCCGATCATGTTCTGTCTCACACGAGTATTCTCCAGAGTCTCCTCCCTGTAGCTTGTAAATAATAAGCTCAGCAAAAGCTCCATCTTGCTTCAGCTGACATTTGTGGCTTGCTTCTATTACACTCTTGTCTTTCCTCCAGATGACTTTGGCTCCAGGTTTCCCAAGTTCGCATCGAAACACTGCATTTTCCCCAGCCTCGGTTTCCAAATCTTTCAGTGATGACTTGATAAGAACTGGCAGTGCTGCAAAAGGCGAGTAAACAAGTGTTTCAAGGTCATCAGAAGAAATGGCTTCAATTGACACAGGATTATGTTTACTTGTATTAGACCAAGGGTTCAATCCAAGCCTACCCTTGACTTCCAAATATGCAGTGCTTTGGCGATCTCCGGTATCACAAATATAGTCACCAGAGTCCTCAGGTTCAAGGTCATTTATGACAAGTTGTGCATGGTGACCATCTTGCTTGAATTCGTATTTAGCACAGGGGCATAGACCAATTTCACCCCTTCGCCACTCAACTGGAATGTCTGCTTTGGAGAGTTCACACTGGAAGCGGATGCTCTCTCCCTCAACAGCTGTCTGGTTCTTCAGTCCTTGTGTGAAGATGGCTGGAAGTGCTGGCAATTCAAAGAGTGGCATATGATGCAATTATTTTCCAGACAAGTAAGACCAAGACAACACAAAGTCCTTAAAGTACAGGTTACAATTAAGTTTCTTTCCTTAGCTTTATCTCCATAACAAACTGTGGAATCATTCACACTTCCTGAACACAGGGCGAGAGTGATCATGCATTTCAAAGATGGATTTGGTCTTCTCCTACCGTTAACCTTGACATTGGCAGTCGTAATGCTGTCTCCACAATCACAGGCATAGTCGCCAGTATCTTCAGGTTTGACATCAGTGATCTTCAGCTCAACAGTAGCCCCAACTTGTTTGATGAGATACTTTCCTCCAGAGTGGATCACCTGTGTTCCTTTCCTCCAAACCACAGGAACTGCAGGTTTGGAGAGCTCACATTGGAAGATGATGCTCTCTCCTTCAATGGCTGTCTGGTTCTGCATCTCTTTTGTGAAGATGGCTGGAAGAGCTGACAATTCAAAGATTGATATGAGATGCCAGATATTTAGTTCCAGACATACAGATGATGTAAATATAAATATTTTCCAGAGAAGGTATTGACGACAAAAATGCAGCGTTCCAAATAATACTTAAAATCAAATCCATATCTTTTTTGAACTTAACTTGATAAATGGTGGAAACGTTCACACTTCATATCCAAAGAATGAATGTGAGCATGCATTTCAAAGATTCTTGAAGCAGTTGGTCTTCTCATACCGTTAACCTTGATGTTGGCAGTTGTCATGCTGTCTCCGCAATCACAAACATAGTTTCCAGAATCTTCAGGTTTGACATCAGTGATCTTCAGTTCAACAGTAGAACCAACTTGTTTGATGAGATACTTTCCTCCAGAGTGGATCACTTGAGTTCCTTTCCTCCAAACCACAGGAACTCCAGGTTTTGAGAGTTTACAGTGCAAAGTAACACTGTCCTTCTCTTGAATCTCTTGATTCTGTAGCTCATCTTTGAAGACCACTGGTAATGCTGAAGAAGTCAGGCAAAGTAGTTGAACCAGGAACATGATCTTGTGAGATTAATTTACACTTTCCATCAAAAAATCCTTTCACTGATAGACGCAAATCTTTCTTCTGCAATTGCTGAACTTATATTTTTACCACCTTGTAATTTTTTTTTGATGAAAACAGCCACCATTATGTAAATGGGAAAACTAGACGAACAACTTATTGGACCTGACAAGCCAATACACAGTACTTTACCCTACCGTACCATAAATTAAGACATTATTGAAGGACAGCTATGTAGATCAGAAAACAGGAAGCTTATTCATTGTTGAAGAGGGTTCAAATAAAAGCTCCGTCCTACCATTGACTTTGATGCTAGCGGTGGTGATGTTGTCTCCGCAATCACATGCATAGACTCCAGCATCTTCGGGTTTAACATCAATGATCTTCAACTCAACAGTAGCCCCAACTTGTTTGATGAGGTACTTCCCTCCAGAATGGATCACCTGTGTTCCTTTCCTCCAAACCACAGGAACTCCAGTTTTTGAGAGTTCACAGTGCAGAGTAACACTGTCATCTTCATCACATGCTTGGTTTAAGAGTTCTTGTGTAAACTGAACTGGGCGAGCTGTTGAAGTAAGCACTTCTTGAGTATTTTTTGAATTTACAGCTGAAGTCATTTTTACACTATTCTATAATAAAACAAAATCTGTAGAGGCAAATCCTTTCCAAATATTACTAATTCTGGAAAGTTAAAGAACACACCATCAAATCAGTAACGTATTTAAGTTGAAAAAGAATGCCACCTAGTCTTCATTGTCAACACAAAAACGGTTTAAAAAAAGTGATAATTTAAAAAATGTAGGACTATCTAAAGGGAAACACTGCACAGGTTCACATGGTCATTTAAAGCAATCTAGATGTGATCTTTCAAAAATAATAAATAAAACATCCACATCAAGGCTGGTGACATGACGTGTTGAAGTAGTCAATAATGTTAATGTCCGCATCAGTTTACATCCATAAACAGGATAACTTTTTGGATTATTTCGAACTTCTAAAAACGGCTCTGTGTTAAATACTGTATAGGGACACAAAACGGCACTGTGTTAAATATAGAGACACAAAACAGACCAAAAAATATATATTTTAAATTAAAAATGATGAAAAAACAGCCTGCAAAGGTAAAGAATAATACTCAATAATACGACAAATAATACGATGAATAAAACAAATAGCAGAGTGAAAGGATACTGACAAAAAAATCCCACAGGCTGCAGTTGGAGGATGCAATTAAAAACAAATTTACAAAAAAAGACCAACACCTCCAAACACATTTAAGTTATAATGCCACCAACAGTCTAGACTTTATGTTGTATATCCATGATATTCAATGTTGTGGAAGTGACCATCACAGATTTGGTAAAGTAAAGCATCAGTGCTGCTGTTCCCAAACCAGCTACTTTCACTAACCCAAGGACACTAACAAAGATAAATATCATGTAATGCAAGCTAGTAATATCTTCCTTACAACCGTCATCCACTCTCACCCTCTTCACCTCTGACATCAGCAAATACAATGTGGAAACAGATAACACTCTAAACAGTAAATCATCTAAATATTCACCAACTATGACACTGAAACAAGCAGTGGTGCAGATAAAGCGCAGGAGAAAAAAAAGCACATTTGGCTACTAATTTTCAAGTGAAAGTATATAAGAGAGAAAAAAAGCCAACAATATCATGTTAGCAACATGTGCTTCATGTTTCTGTATATAAATACTGACTTCTTTAAAACATAAAATAGGAGAAGCTACTTCATTTGAGATTGTTCTGTAGCAAAATGTAGGAGCAATAGTTCTCTTGTCAGACAATAATGGCAAATCCAGAACAAGCAGACGTCATGGATTACAACTTATTTTACCATAGCATTCATGTCCCCCAAAACTGACCGATTCCAGACAGTTTAGCATGTCCAAACAAGAAGGATTCAAGCTGCTGACCAAGAAAACAAAGCAAAGACAGAATTGTGACTGAAGTCGGTCTAGAGCTGAAGGCTTAATCTATATCTCTGTCCCACAAATGAACTGCATTGAACTGAAGAGAAAACAAACTAGGCAAATCAGACAGACCGCAAAGAAGAAAAGTTTGAGCCAATTCCAAAACAGATGTCTGTCAGACTATGGCATACCTGCACAGCAGGTGGAGCCACAGCAGGATACAACAAATTATCTAAAAGTTATATTTAATAATGTACAAAATTATTCTGTTCCCCATTAACAACATCTGCAGTTATGGTTTTCTGCTTTGGCATGTCATCTGCAAGAGTGTAATTTTGCTCTACATGATGAACAACTATATCTTTTGGGCATTTCAAATCTACTGTAGGATATCAGTGAAAACCTAACATAACAAATGCAACATTAATATTCACAAACACCAAATTCAAATGTGTAACACTGTTTTTTTTTTTTCAGAATAGTGTAGCTAGGAAAGAATGGTTAATAACTACTGTACAGTACCAGAAAGAATAAGAAAGATTAGAAAACATACCCTTGATCTTCATATTGGCTGTGGTTGTCTTATCACCACACACACATGTGTAGTCTCCCTCATCTTCACATTTGAGATCAGTGATCTTCAGCTCCACCTTTGAGGCAAACTGCCTGATGATGTACTTTCCTCCAGACTGGATAATATGGCTTCCTTTTTTCCACTGCACAGAGATGCCAGGTTTGGAAAGCTCGCAAGACAGAGTAGCACTGCCTCCTTCATCACACTCTTGGTTCTGAAGCTCATGTGTGAAGATCACTGGTAATGCTAAGGAACCATGAAGAAATGTTGGAACCATATTACACAAACAACTCAAGACCATATTAAAGAACTGGACTGAAGAGAAGTCTCCAATCTTAACAAAATAATATGTATTCAAGTTGTGAGCCCTACCAATTGATCAAAACAAAACACGGCACAGCGGAAGACTGTTAAAAGTAATCCTTTACACAATCACTATTCACAAAATAAATGCATAAAATATAAAATGGGTGTCATGATGGTGTTTACATTCAGTATATCATTCCTACCATTGACGGTAACGGTAGATGAGGTCTTGTTAATCCCACAATTACAACTATAGACTCCAGCATCTTCAGGTTTGACATCAGTGATCTTCAGCTCGAAAGTAGACCCGACTTGCTTGATGTGGTATTTCTCTCCAGAATGGATCACCTGTGTTCCTTTCCTCCAAACCACAGGAACTCCTTGTTTGGAAAGCTCACATTGAAGAGTAACACTGTCCATTTCTTGACACTCCTGGTTTTGTAGTTCTCGTTTGAAGATCAGGGGTAAAGCTAAGAAGCAATTGGCGTTGTAACAGTTTGTTAGTAAGCACACCATTCACAAACCTTCCAAAGACAGCAGGAGACAAGATAAGACAGAACATCTTACAAGACAAGATTGGGAAATTTTTGTAGTAGTAAATCGTAACTCGGGAAATTTTAAATAAATGTAACTCGGGTAACTAACCAGTGAATGTAAAAATATAAAATAAATAGTCTTTTTACTCATGGAAAAAGCAAAGATTCACATATATAAGACTGAATGAACTTCATACCCTTGATCTTAATGTTTGCCGTAGTCTTTTTGTCCCCACACAAACATGTGTATTGTCCAGCATCTTCAGGTTTGAGGTCAGCAATCTTCAACTCAAAAGTAGCTGAATCTTGCTTTATAAGGTACTTTTCCCCAGAATGGAGTACCTGCGTTCCTTTCTTCCAAACAACTGGGACCCCAGATTTTGAGAGTTCACAGTGAAGAGTAACACTGTCTCCTTCTTCACCCTCTTGGCTTTGTAGCTCACGTTTGAAGACCGCCGGTAATGCTGAAGTGTAATTGTGTGATAAATCAGAGGTGTACAATTATTACCCTACAAATTGATCAAGTTAATTGACAATTCAGTGTATTGCTTGCAATGAATAAGCTTTATCCATACCACTGACAACAACACTTGCTGTTGTTTTCTCGTTTCCACATTCACATGAATATTCTCCACTGTCCTCAGTAACTACTTCTGAAATCTGTAGCTCAAACATAGTGTCCCTCTGCGTTATCTGATATCTTCCCCCATGTTTCACATTTTCAGTTCCCTTCTTCCATTGCACTTGACAGCCAGGTTTTGAGAGCTCGCAGGAAAGTAAAACTTTCCCGCCTTCGGTAACCTGCTGGTTCTTCATCTGCCCCTTGAACCTGGCAGGCACCACTGGAGAACGAACAAGCATCATATAATTAAAATTCTTCATAGTTTTAATGTCCGAAAGACAGGATGGCGGATCATTGGGATGAAGGGATAACAAGGAAGTTATGATAAACCGATATTCGGTGTTATTTTGTTTCAGGATGGGATTTGGCTATTAATGTATATCTTTACATCATCCTTGGTTGTCTATAATCACAGAAATATACAAACAAAAAACAATTCCAATACATCAATTGTACCAAGACTACATGAATAAAAATATGATATACTACAGTATATATACAAAGACTGAACCTTACAAACCAACACAAAACACAAATGCTGATGTGCCATTTCTAAAATTTGACAATTCTACAGAAAGCTTGATAGATATCAACTGGAAATCTCAATGGGTTCTTCATAAAATCTTAAAATAAATAAGACAAGGATTCTAATGGTACATTATTATACATATGCACACAACGGCCACACCAACACTGGGCGCAAAGTACAAATATATTCCATCACATCAATTGTAATAAGAAGCACAAGAAACAACAATTCCAGCACATATATAAAAAGACTAACCAAATTTCCATCAAACTTTCTTGCTAGAAATCTAAATGACATGTTGAGTAGCCTACAAACATAATTGTGAAAGTACAATATAAAAGTGCCATTACTCTGAACTAAGGTGGTCTTCTGCAGACAACAATGAATGCGACCATCAGCAAAATACCTGGCAGTAACATCGCCACAGAGAAACCCAAAAGTTAAATGCAAAAATGCAGAAAGAAACTATACAACACAAATGCTGTCTTAAACTGTACTTACCAGAAATATTTCAAAGATTTTCTTTACTTCGGTAAAGCTTGCCTTTATTCATTCCCTCTGACTTTCGTGTTCATATTCAATGTAAACTTGACCGTAAGATTTATTTAACAATGAATTTATTAAAGCAATCTAAACTGTAAGCATCTGGGCTCTGTCCATCTAAAAAAATAAGAGCTAGGCAAATACATTGCAGTAAACACCAAGGTTCTTACCTTTCACTGTCAGTTTGGCTGTACTCTTTGTAGAGCCAATGTCACAGGTGTATACCTCGCTGTCACTCTTCTCTAGATCCTTTATGTTGAGAATGAGGACGGTTCCCTTCTGCATCAGCTCATACCTTCCTCCAGCCTTGATCTCCTTTGTTCCTTTCAGCCAGGTGACTTTAGAGGCAGGGTGGACGGTTTCACATTCAAATAAGACAGTACTATTCTCTTCTGCCGTGGCATCCTTTAGCTCACAAATGAATTTGTTGGCCAGTTCTACAGAGGGAATGAAACACTAGGGTAAATATATTTCTCCTTTTTAGGAGTATGTGATTTCCCCCGTTGTATATTTAAAAAAAAATGATGTCAATGTAAAACCATTAGTTTTAAAATCCTTACCTTTGATCTCCAGTTTAGCCTTGGAGGTTGGACCACCGGTGACCTCGCAGCTGTACTCTCCAGAGTCTTTGTCAGTGACGTTGTGGATAGTCAACTTTATGAGCGTCTGCTCCTGACTGATTTCATATTTTTGGCTCTTTCTGATAGACTTTCCATCCTTGGACCACTTCACTTCCAGGCCACATTGAGAAACCTCACAGGAGAATACCGCATCTTCACCAATTTTGGCACTAACACCCTGAAGCTCTTTAGATATGGTAGGAACTTCACCTACCCCCCCAAAATAAGATACACACTGATTAAGGAAAACTGGATTTTATTCAAATTCATTACTCTTGTATTTATTGCACACTCTGCTTACTCACCCTCAACAGAAAGTGTTGCCTTTGAGCTCAAATCTTTGAGAGTGAAGACCACCTCACCAGAATCAGAAGCTGAGACTGATTTAATTGTTAAGGTATACTTGCGCCCTTTGCTGCTTATCTGGAAACGGCCTCCATCAGTGACAGGTTGGCCTTTTAAGCTCCAGGAGCACTGCTCTGAGCTTTCCCGGGACAAGATACACTCAAATGTGCAGTTTTCACCTGCTTTGGCCTCTAACGACTTAAGACGCTTGGTGATCCCGATGTGGATATCTGGGGTTAACAACAAAGGCATTATTGGAAAAGCACCCAAAACTTAATCTGTTTTTCATAAAAACAACAATAAATGACACTACAGTGTCACTATAGCACAACAGTATTTCCATAGTTTGTTGACATACCTCTAACAGTGACCTTGGACTTGGAGAGGTCCGTGCCAAGATCACAGCTGTACTCCCCTGCGTCAGCTTGCATGACGTCGTGGATAGTCAGTCCCAGGGACTTACCATCATGGAGGAGCTCGTATTTTTTGCCTGCAGACAAGACTGTACCATCTTTGCACCACACAGGGGCCACTCTGGGCTTTGAGGCTTCACACTTAAGGGTCACCGTTCCCTTCTCCTCTGCAACTACATCATCTAGCAACTTCAGGAATACAGCTTTCTTTTCTGAATGTCAATAAATAAAAAAGTGCATCAAACCAAAATCAGTTAAAAAATGTCATCTTTCACATTCAGCTTTTCTGTTTTATTTAGACATTGTCGTATGACCTCACCTTTGACCTTCAGGCATACTGTTTCTTTTACATCCCTTACGCTGAATGACACCTTCCCACCATCCTCAGGTGCTAGGTTCTTGAGAGAAAGTGTATGGGTCTTATCCACATGGGTGATGGTATTGACCTCATTGTTGAACAGCAGCTTGTCATTGAGCGTCCATTGGACTTCTTCATCAGAATAGTTGACCTCACAGGTGAACACAGCATCACCGTCTTCATCCACCTCAACATCTGTCAGATGTTTGGTGATCTGGATTTTACGCACTATATCAAGTGTAAAAAAATATACATCAAAGAGGAACCAAGAGTACCTATATAATGACTTTTTGGTGTAGTCAAAGCCTCTTACAAGCAACCCTAACCCTAGAGGGCTGGATGTATAAAGGGAATGCAATTTGAAACAACATGCTTTGAATACCTTCTTTATGACTTTACCTTCTACTTTGAGAACGGCTTTGCTCTCACAGACCCCGACCTGACAGCGATACTCTCCAGAGTCCTCTGCACTCAAAGCTTGTATAATCAGCTGCACATTGGCGTCCTTTTGCTTCATGCTGTACTTGCTAGAAGCCTCCAAAGCAGTTTGACCCTTAAACCACTGCACTTCTTTTGGCGGGGCAGAGAACTTGCAGCACAGTGTGGTGGAAGTCTTCTCCTTGGCTGACACATCCTTGAGAGGCTCAAGAACTTCAATGGGACGCTCTGTGGGGCGAAATGAACAGTGACTTTGAAAATAAAAGTTCACAATTTCATTTTCACATTTCATTTGTAGTAAACATATAACTAAAACAAATCTTTTTAAAGCTCAAAGAACTCAACGTGGAATCAACGTGGAAATATGACATCGAAACAACGTTGATCTGACATTGTTTTGCTCATCGAATTAACGTTGAACCAACGTCAGACGCGTCATTCTTTCAAAACTAACGGAAAATCAACTTGAAATCAACGCGTTGTTTCAACGTTATGAAAGCAAACCAATTTTCGATTTTCATTTAGCTTTGAAGAACGCCGCGTCTGACGTTGGTTCAACGTTAATTCGATGAGCAAAATCAACGTTGTTTCAATGTCATGAGAGACGTCGTTTCCACGTTGATTCAATGTCAGTTTGCTGTCTGGGTAACATTTCTGTAGCAAATCTATCATGCATCATTATCAAAAACTATTTAATTAGAATTATTAGATTCAAATTAGATCACTTTTGGGAGTGGCTACTTTGCAAATCTTGGTTAAACCAAGTCTCTAACCTTTCACTTTGAGCTCAGCTGTTGATTTGCTCTTTCCGGCTGTGAACTGTACTTGGCCTGACATGGAGGCCTTGGTCTTCTTAAAAGTGAGGTGGTGCATGGTTCCCTCCTTCTCCATCTCGATATCTGTGCTCTCCTTCAGCTGTTCCCCATTCAGCATCCACTTCACTGGTTTGACTGTCTCCACGCTGACTTCCACTTCAAAGTGGGCGGCAAATGGCTCAGTCACCTCCACAGAACTCAGCTCCCGTACTATGCTGATAGCCTGCTCTGAAATTTGTGATGATACAGTACAGTGCTGTGTCAAAAAATTTGCTACATAAAAAGTTTATGAAGAAAAATTCTTTAAAAAGACTTTAGACTTCAGAAAAGTGCGTGGAAATAAAACAAAATGCATGTAAGCTAAATTTATAACCTGTAAGCGAACATTAATTTGTCCCTGTTTAGAAGGGCAAATTACTAAGATAAATACGATTATTTTAAAAATAGTTAAAATCACAAACAGGCTCATACTTGTCTGTTGCAGATCAATTAAAACTGATCTACAAACTGTTATCAAATAAGTAAAAACATGCAATTGCATTATGTCCACCCTTTTACAGTCAGTTTTCTTTGTAGTTTTCTTCTTGAATAGTGTGTGGTTGTGCTTCATGAATTCAGTTGTGCTTTCATCCTAAAATGTTATTCTAATTATTTTAACCATAACTGAAAAGGTTTTTACCCTCTACTAGTAGTTGACATGAAGTCTTATCATCAATGGCGTCACACATGTACGTGTCCTCATCATCCGAGTCCACGTCGATGATGGTGAGCTTCCTGTAGATGTCCTCACTAGTGATCTCGTGCTTCTCGCTGGGTTTGAGCTCCGACTTGTTCTTGTACCATGTGACTTTAGCACTGGCCCGTGACACCTGACACTCTAAGTATGCGTGGTGTTTGAACATGGCGATTTTGTCTCTCAGTTTCTTCACAAATCTGACAGGCAGTTCTGTAACGATTATAAGGTGACTTGGGGGGTGATTTGTTAGACAACAGTAGAAACACTACACAGCACAGGCTGTAGCTTATTAGTCTAAACACTGAATGCAAAATGCATGCGGATACGATAGACACATGACCACGAACCTTTAACCTTTAGTTTAGCGGTTGAAGAGGCCTTCTCAGCTGTGAACTTGATTTCACCAGCATCCTCAGCCTTTACAGATTTGAAAAGTAGTACGTATGTTCTTCCTGAGAGAAAGAGAGTTTTTAATGAGTTTGAGAGTAATTGATCTGTCCTTATTGGAACTGAATTTATGTTCAACTCACCCTCCTGCCTCATCTTGATGTTGTCTCCGGCTTTGAGCTTGGCATCCCCTTTGTGCCACTGAGCCTCTACTTCATCGTGAGAGACCTCACAAACAAATGTCGCGCTCTCCTTCTCGGTCACCTCGGTGTCCTGCAGCGGCTTTACTATTTTAATATCTCGGGCTGCAAGAATTCAAACACAATCATTTATTCATATGACACTACAAAATGTTTGAGGATCTCCCACTCAGAATTCATTCATCTTTACCATGAACCGTGAGCTTTGCTGAAGTATTGTCATCTGTTGTTCTACACATATACTGGCCCTGGTCCTCATACGCACACTTGTGGATGAGGAGGGTGCGCTTGTTGGCCTGGGATTGAATGCCAAATTTCTTTCCTGGCTTTAGTTCCTCATCATCCTGATAACGACACAACTACATCAACATTTTCTTTTACTAGTTCTATTTTCAAATTATTTTATATTGTATTCAATTTTTTTTTAACAATTCTAAATTGAATTACTAATACCTTAAACCACTTGACATCAGCATTTGCTCTTGATACTTCACATTCAAATGTGGCTTTCTCCTTTTCAGGAGAAACGATATCCCGTAGGGGTTTGAGGATCTTCGCAGCTGGCTCTGTGGGTACAACACCAATTATTACGGTTAAAATCATTCTAGATTTTAACACTGGTGTTTAAGTTATGGTTCTTTTCATAAGTTTCATATGAAGTGCCATTTGAAGTTTTCTTCTAGAATGATAATTTTTATCAAGCTTGTATATTTAAGTTCAGTAATTTCAGCAAATTACTGAACTTAAATACACAAGCTTGATAAAAATGATCATTCTAGAAGAAAATTTCAAATGGCACTTAGAGGCTTTTACATCTGAACTCTTCATATACACCTACTAAACCCCCAATAAGCGACTCTTAGACAGGCTGCAAAAAGTTAATCATGCTCAAGGACACAATATAAGAACATAAAATGTGGAAATTAATATGGTTTGCATTGTGGAATATACTTAAAATATTGTATATGCAGCTTCTACAAGTACTAAACTTGTAATCTCATGTAAATGCTATCTTACCAAATCTTGCAATTCACTTAAGAGCACAACCCAATTATTGGATGATGCATTAACCGTAAATTACCGACTTGCACCTTTTGCATGCCAAGAATTATAAGTGGGCTTAAACCTAAAGACCCCAATATACAAACTAACCTGTAACAATTAGTTTTCCAGACGTATGAACATCCTCAGCTTGAAAGGTAATAGATCCACCATCACTTATCTTCAGCTGGGACATAGTCAGGCTGTGCTTGTTGCCCAATGCTGTAATGATGATATTGGGTCCTGCCTTCAGTTTCGTTCCATCTTTGCTCCAGGTTCCTTCTACATCAGCCTTGCTAAGTTCCACCTCCATAGTGATGGTCTCTTTTTCTTGTACTTTCACCTCTTTCAGGCCTTTTACTACCTGAATCTTCTTAACTGAAATGTAAAAAACAATAGAAATCCAATGTTGAGGAAGGAATAGTTGAATGTGCATTTTCATGGTCAATTATTATAAACTACTAGGCTATATATAGTCATCATGGCAAACATAAAGAATGAAAATATTATGATCGAAAGAATAACTCTGTGATAGAGTAACAATAAAGGAAGCCCTACTTTCTACTGTCAGTTTTGCCAGGGTCTTGTCATCTAGGGTTTCACATGAGTAATGTCCTCTGTCAGCATATATCACGCTCTTGAGGACCAAAGTCTGCTTGACACCCTCCACATGAATCTCCAGATTTCCTCCTTGCTGTAGAACCACACCATTCTTCATCCACTTCACATCTGTTGAGGGTTTACTTAGCTCCACTTCCAACCGAACTGTGTCCTGCTCCTGCACAGTCACATCTACAAGCTTCTTCTTAAATGTGACAGGAAGCTCTGCAAGGTACAGATATGTGTGTAATGAGAAGCATGTGCTTGCCTGTGGATATTTTGCATCACGCCTAACAGTTATCCTTACCTTGTACTTGGAGTGTGGCCTTGCACACTTTCCCATCGGCATCGATACTGATCTCTCCTGCGTCCTCCTGAGTGACAGCTATGATAGTGAGGGAGAAGGTGCTTCCTCCAAAAGCTAGCTTAAATTTGGGACTAGCTGTTATAGGAACACCATTATGCAGCCATCTGACACTCACATCGGCTGGTGTGATAGAGCATTTGAAGATGGCATCTTTGCCTTCATTTGCAACAACGTTGTTCAGCTTGGTAGTGAACCTCACCAGACGTGGGGCTGTGAGAAATTAGATTGAACATTTCAAAACATCTATCACTTAAAACAATCTTAATGACTTTCAGACATGACAGTGATGGTTCTTACCTTTAGTGGTGACTTTAGTGGTGGTTTTGTCATCTTTGCATTCGCAGCTATACTCCCCTTCATCCTCCTGAGCCACATCAGACACAATCAAGGTGCAGTTGGTGCTATCAGTACGGATGCTGAATCTGCCGCCAGGTTTGATTTCTTTGCCGTTATGCTTCCAGAGGACGTTACCGGTGGCTTTGTTGAGGGTGCAGGAAAGGGTCATAGTGCTTTCTAGTGCTGCAGATACCGGTTGCAATGGCACCACAAATTTTAAAGGTGCCTCTGCATGGAATAATTGAGGGGAAAAATTAAATCACATTTTGTCTGCAATCAGTAAGATTTAGTATTTATACAAGCACAATTATATCTTACATGAATTACTTTGAAAACTTCATATGTTTAAGTATAGAGACAATTGCGTTGTAAAAAAAAATAAAAATGAATATGCGGTAACATTTTCATTGCTTTGAAATTGCAAATTAGCTTTTACCTTTGACCTGAACCTTGAACTCCACCTTGTCATCAGCAGTCTGGCAGGAATAAATGCCATTGTCTTTGGATTCAGAGGACTTAACAATTAGGACACGTGAGCGACCTTCCTGTTTCATCTCATACTTTGATCCATCTTTTAGTTCCACTCCATCCCTGAACCACTTAACACTACAACTCTCTGACATCACCTCGGTTTTTAAAACAACCTTCTCTGTTGACTCGACCATCACAGTTTCTTTTGTCACGGATGTCTTCTGGAATTTGGTAGTGACATCTGAATAAAAAATTCAAAAATATTCACTAAATTGTAACCATGTTCTGGAGGAAGATTGTTCATTAATGGAGGTCCACTAATGTCCTAGAAAGTCTTACCTTCCACCTGAATCTTAAAGAGCAGTTTCTCATTCCCAACTTCACAGGTATATTCTCCAACGTCCTTCTTCTCGACGTTCTCCAGCACCAGCTGACGGCTCTTGCCCTTTGACTCCATGTGGACAGTCTTATTGGAGCTCAACTGCTTGCCATCTTTGAACCATTTTACCTCGGTCTTGAGGTCAGAAACTTCACAGCTCAGTGTGGCTTTTTGGGATGCTGAAACCTTAACTTCCTTCTGATAGGAGTCCTTGTTGGTGAAGGCAGCTTGAAAGTCTGGGGCAGAAATCCAGAATTAGGAATATAGTATCAGAAACTACTTTCAGTTTATGTAAACTTTGCTTTGATCATGTTTGATTAAGCCACTGGAACATTAAAAAACAAACAATAATAAATATTTTTTTTAAACCAAGACAAAACACTGGCATGTTGTTCTTACCTTCTACCTGAATCTTAAAGTGCAGTTTCTCATTCCCAACTTCACAGGTATATTCTCCAGCATCCTTCTTCTCCACGTTCTCCAGCACCAGCTGACGGCTCTTGCCCTTTGACTCCATGTGGACAGTCTTATTGGAGCTCAACTGCTTGCCATCTTTGAACCATTTTACCTCAGTCTTGAGGTCAGAAACTTCACAGCTCAGTGTGGCTTTTTGGGATGCTGAAACCTTAACTTCCTTCTGATAAGTGTCTTTGTTGGTGAAGGCAGTTTTGAGCTCTAATGAGAAGGTATAAAGAGTTCATTCAAAGAGTTTAGTTTGCCAATTTACAGAAAAGTCAATACTAAAGTGACACATTACATATGACACTAGAGAAGAAATATTTTCATAGGACCTTTTAAACAACCCAAAGAAGACTGTTAAGATTTGACATATTTCACTTATCAGTGCAAATTGTGAATAAGTTATTTGGTGTGTCCAAGAGCAACCACTGATGACCAAATGGACCAAGCCAAAATGAACAGTGCAAAATGTTTTCCATACCTGTCACCTGAATCTTAAAGTGCAGTTTCTCGTTCCCAACTTCACAGGTATATTCTCCAGCATCTTTCTTCTCCACGTTCTCCAGCACCAGCTGACGGCTCTTGCCCTTTGACTCCATGTGAACAGTCTTACTGGAGCTCAACTGCTTGCCATCCTTAAACCATTTCACCTCAGTCGTGAGGTCAGAAACCTCACAGCTCAGTGTGGCTTTTTGGGAAGCAGCTATTTTGACTTCCTTCTGATAGGAGTCCTTGTTGATGAAGGCAGCTTGAATGTCTAGTTGGGCAGGTACAGTCCACCATGGATCCAATATAACAAAAACAGAATTATATGAGTCAATATATTACCGGTACTTAAAGTTATAGAAGATACTGTAGATACTATAAGGACTGGATGGTTGAGAAAGCCAGGATGGATCATAATTTGTGGTCCATATTTTAAGCAAATAAATCCAAATCACATTACAGACTAAAACTTTTTTAGTAGCATTGAATTCAGCAAAACACTACTTTTTACATTTTTTAATTTACCACTTCATGAACAGAAAAACTACATGTATTAATAAATCTACAAACACATGTTAATATCAATGGTCTCTTTCACCAAGGCCAGTTTTTTATTGCTACAAGTAGAAGTAGCTTTTGTCAAGCTTCACTGTATTACTGTATTATTCATTTGCAAGAAAAATTAAAGTAGAAACAGAGTGCCGATAGACAAACACAAGAATATTCCCATACCTGTCACCTGAATTTTAAAAGAGAGTTTTTCATTCCCGACTTCACAGGTATATTCTCCAGCATCCTTCTTCTCCACGTTCTCCAGCACCAGCTGACGGCTCTTGACCTTTGACTCCATGTGGACAGTCTTACTGGAGCTCAACTGCTTGCCATCCTTGAACCATTTCACCTCAGTCTTGAGGTCAGAAACTTCACAGCTCAGTGTGGCTTTTTGGGACGCTGAAACCCTCACTTCCTTCTGATAGGAGTCTTTGTTGGAGAAGGCGGCTTGAATGTCTGGATGGGCATTAGACAATATCAGAGAAATCTTTCCACACAAACACACACACACACAAAAAAAAATTACATTGCAGACTGAAGCATGCAACACATTTTTTCTACCTATAAGTGTACTACTTCTTAAAGAAAGAAAAGTACATAAATAATTGTATCTATAAAGACACATTAATGAAATATTGTGGCATGTTTTTTTTACCAGATGCAAGGCATACTGTATCAAACCCCTTTGTTATATTTTAAGTTGTTTTTCTTAATCTTTGTTGACTTACTGTATTGTAATTGTGGTATCTTCCTTGAAGAAGAAAAAACGAAAATAGAACAGCAAGCCAACAGACAAACACAAGGATGTTTCCATACCTGTCACCTGAATCTTAAAGAGCAGTTTCTCATTCCCAACTTCACAGGTATATTCCCCAACGTCCTTCTTTTCCACGTTTTCCAGCACCAGCTGACGGCTCTTGCCCTTTGACTCCATGTGGACAGTCTTACTGGAGCTCAACTGCTTGCCATCCTTGAACCATTTCACCTCAGTCTTGAGGTCAGAAACTTCACAGCTCAGTGTGGCTTTTTGGGATGTTGAAACCTTAACTTCCTTCTGATAGGAGTCCTTGTTGGAGAAGGCAGCTTGAATGTCTGGGACAGAAATCAGGATTCAGGAATACAGTGTTGGAAACTACTTTCAGTTTTATATAAACTTTGCTTTGGTCATGTATGATTGAGTCACTGGAACCTTAAAAAACACACAAACAAAACAAAACACTGGCATGTTGTTCTTACCTTCCACCCGAATCTTAAAGACCAGCTTTTCATTCCCAACTTCACAGGTATATTCTCCAGCATCTTCTTCTCCACGTTCTCCAGCACTAGCTGACGGCTCTTGCCCTTTGACTCCATGTGGACAGTCTTACTGGAGTTCAACTGCTTGCCATCTTTGAACCATTTCACCTCAGTCTTGAGGTCAGAAACTTCACAGCTCAGTGTGGCTTTTTGGGATGATGAAACCTTAACTTCCTTCTGATAGGAGTCCTTGTTGGTGAAGGCAGCTTGAATATCTGGGGTATAAATACAGAATTAGGAATATAGTATCAGAAACTACTTTCAGTTTATGTAAACTTTGCTTTGATCATGTTTGATTAAGCCACTGGAACCTTAAAAAACAAACAATAATATTTTTTTTTTAAACCAAGACAAAACACTGGCATGTTGTTCTTACCTTCTACCTGAATCTTAAAGAGCAGTTTCTCATTCCCAACTTCACAGGTATATTCTCCAGCATCCTTCTTCTCCACGTTCTCCAGCACCAGCTGACGGCTCTTGCCCTTTGACTCCATGTGGACAGTCTTACTGGAGCTCAACTGCTTGCCATCCTTAAACCATTTCACCTCAGTCTTGAGGTCAGAAACCTCACAGCTCAGTGTGGCTTTTTGGGATGCTGAAACCTTAACTTCCTTCTGATAGGAGTTCTTGTTGGAGAAGGCGGCTTGAATGTCTGGTGCAGAAATCAATATTTAGGAATACAGTATCAAAAACTACATTTAGTTTTAAGTAAATTTTGCTTTGGTCATGTTTAATTGATTGAATGGAACCTTAAAAAAACCCAAGACAAAACACTGGCATGTTGTTCTTACCTTCCACCCGAATCGTGAAGACCAGCTTTTCATTCCCAACTTCACAGGTATATTCCCCAGCATCCTTCTTCTCCACGTTCTCCAGCACCAGCTGACGGCTCTTGCCCTTTGACTCCATGTGGACAGTCTTACTGGAGCTCAACTGCTTGCCATCTTTGAACCATTTCACCTCAGTCTTGAGGTCAGAAACTTCACAGCTCAGTGTGGCTTTTTGGGATGCTGAAACCCTCACTTCCTTCTGATAGGAGTCTTTGTTGGAGAAGGCGGCTTGAATGTCTGGATGGGCATTGGACAATATCAGAGAAATCTTTCCACACACACAAAAAAAAAATTACATTGCAGACTGAAGCATGCAACACATTTTTTCTACCTATAAGTGTACCACTTCTTAAAGAAAGAAAAGTACATAAATAGTTGTATCTATAAAGACACATTAATGAAATATTGTGGCATGTTTTTTTACCAGATGCAAGGCATACTGTATCAAACCCCTTTGTTATATTTTAAGTTGGTTTTCTTAATCTTTGTTGACTTACTGTATTGTAATTGTGGTATCTTCCATGAAGAAGAAAAAACGAAAATAGAACAGCAAGCTAACAGACAAACACAAGGATGTTTCCATACCTGTCACCTGGATCTTAAAGAGCAGTTTCTCATTCCCAACTTCACAGGTATATTCCCCAGCATCCTTCTTTTCCACGTTCTCCAGCACCAGCTGACGGCTCTTGCCCTTTGACTCCATGTGGACAGTCTTACTGGAGCTCAACTGCTTGCCATCCCTAAACCATTTCACCTCAGTTTTGGCATCAGAAACTTCACAGCTCAGTGTGGCCCTCTGGGAAGTTGAAACCTTCACCTCTTTCTGATAAGAGTCTTTGTTGGAGAAAGCAGCCCGAGTTTCTAAAAAAGAAAATTCATTCTTTTAGTGAAACAAACTAACAAAAAAATGTAGTTCTGCACCGCAAAAAGATCTCAAACATCTCCGAAATGGACAAAAACACACTGGACTAATAATAAATGTTATGTGCAAATTTCAACAACCTCTAATGGATTGTTTTCCAGAAAATAATCTAGAATTTTTTGTATTCAAGGTTAGATTTTGAGACTGCAAACAATACGTCTTGGAAAGAGCTGTACCTTCAAATACCATTGCTGTCTACAGTAAGATCTGACAATGGTAAGATAAATGACATGCTAAACTTAAATATAACTTGTACAAGGCTGGTATAACTTTTAATTTCACTTATTAAATATTTTATTAGCTGTAGGAGCATTTAGCGTTTAGCTTCACTGTTCAAAAAACCATAAAGTTATGACATTAATTAGGTATTGTGGCATGTCTGATTAATCCTGCTCATTTAAATTTTTAGTTTAAGACTAATTAGCGCATAGTCTTACCTTTTATCTTGACCAGGAATGTCATTTTGTCCTCTGCCGTCTCACACGAGTAGTGTCCTTCATCGCTCTGCTTGGCACCCTTGATGACCAGCTTCCTTTGCGTCCCTTGAGACATAAAAGTTGTCCTCTTGTCCTCCGTTATTTCTATCTGGTCTTTCTTCCACACAACAGTGGTTCCAGGAGAAGCAACCTCACAGCTCAACACCACGTCGCCCACCAGAGCGCCACTCTCCTGGGGCTGAGTCCTTGGCTTGTTAACAAACTTAGTTGGTTCTTCTGTTAGGGTAAAATGGAGGATTATATGCCATAATACCATACCTCTCTTATAGAAAACAAATAAAACACGGCAAGAAACAGTCACATCCACTGTCCATTTGAATAGATGTCTTGTGACACAAAAGCCCCCCAAAACAAACAGATGTGACAACTGAAACTTTCCTGATTTATGTATATGTATATTAAATATAAACATTGGTTAGTCATTTGAATGGAAAAAGAATATAAAATGCTGATAAAAAATATTGGTTACCATATAGTTAAAAATGAATATTATATGTAGTTCTTCTGTAAAATACTTTAAACGTTGTTTTTATGCCTTTATGTGAGGGTAATTGCATTTATAATTGGGTTTATGCAGCTACCAACTCCTTAAATATTATGTTCCCAAAATTTTATAATAAATATAGTTATTAACATTGTTTTGTTGAGTATGATATCAGTATCATATTAAATTATTTCCAAAAATCAAGCTAAATAAAATATCAATTGTACATCCTGTTTAGCAAAATGTTGTATCCTAATAGTTTTATATAAACAGTAGTGTCTTAAATAGAATTGTGAGTACATCATAAATACTCATCTTACCCCAAAGCATATGTAATATATGATACCTGAGAGTGTATGAGTGCTAAGCAGAAGTGTTAAAACACATCTTCTAACACTTCCTGTTGAGAAGCATGAGCCCAGCTGTTCCTAGCTGTCAACACTGATCGCTTGCACCATTTATCCAATCAGAAATCTCTGTACTAAGCTGGGATATACAAAGCACTGACTACTCAGCAATGACTTTAATTCTTGGGAAATTCCTAAATAGTACACTGCAAGAAGCACGCGCTTCAATTTAAAATTGTTCCATTTTCATATATGTAAATAATTGTATGTATAATTAATATAATTTTAAGCTTGAAATATATATGTAGAGGCTAAAACAGAAAAAGAGGCTAGTTTGGAAATAGAGGCTATAAAAAGTAACTGAAGGTCAGTAAGTGAAGAGACAAATTGCCTGTTTCACCTTTAAGTACAAGTTGGACAGACATTTTATCGCCATCACACATGCATTCATAAATGCCCACGTCCTCAAGGTCCACGTTGTGGACTGTCAGTATGCGTTTGCGCTCCACACTCTTGGCTTCATATTTTTTACCCATCCTCAGCTCCTTCCCATTCTTCATCCAAACAACCTGCAGCACAGACACAACATGTAGTTAATTATCAAAAAGAAAAAATGACTTATTACCCATCATGTCCACACATCTATTACTGTAGATATTTGAATTTTGTCTGTTTTGTTAGGGCAATGCATCTCAAAGTCAACTGTGCCACTGGTTGGACAATACAATTTAAACTCCAATAGGAGCAAGCATTAAAAAACTTGGTAAAATACTTAATGTATATTTTTAAAAATTTATTTGGATTTTGCAAGACAAAAAACATGCATTTTGTCACCTGGACACTTGAATCGGACACTTCTGTGTGCATCTGAGCAGAGGAGTGCATGCTGAAAGTAAATACTTCAACCTGAGAAGACTTACTGGTGAAACGTGAAAGTGCAGCTAAAGAACATCAAGAAATAAAATAAAATCAGGAACATTGTTAAAGTTATTGTACTTTAGTTTTCAGAAACTGTTCCTTTCTTACCTTTCACAGTAAGTGTGCAAACACTCTGAGATCCACCACCCACAAACTTGACCTGTGCCCCGTTCAGCTCCATGGACACCTCCCTGATGACCAGTGTGTGTGTGGTCTTTGAGCGTGTGATCAGATACTCCGATCCACTGCGGATCATTCGGTCATTTATGGTCCAGGAGCCCGAACATACACTCGAGAGCTCCACAGTGAAGGTGGCTTCTTCGCCTGCATGTGCACTGCAGCTCACCAGGCCTGTCTTCACTGACGCTGTGGGCTCTGATCAAACAAATTCCCAAAATACTTATTGGAATATAATGATTTATGTAACTTTATATTGGTTTATACACTTCCCAGCCAAAAAAAAAGTCGCTGTAGACTTTACAGAATGCTTGAATTGCATTGTCAATACAACATCTTGACCAAAAATGGATGCACCTATTGATGGAAATAAATGTGCCAATTCATGTGTGGAAATGATTCTTCATGCTCCTCCAAACCATTCTTTTACAATTTGAGCCTGATGAATCTTGACATTGTCATCCTGGAATATGGCCATGATGTGTCTTCCTACATGGTTGTTTAAGAAATGATAAGCTGCACACTCCATCAATTAGAACTGTTCCCAAACATATAACATGATAGATCCATAATAATCACTTAATTTTGATCCAATCATAGACTCTTAAGCATTTGCCTATTTAAATCCAAACAGCGACTTTTTTTTTTGGTCTGGCAGTGTATTTTATGAATGTCCACGGCCAACAACAAAGCCTTTCTCACCAAGATAAAATGTTCCAGGAACCTCCAAGTAGGCACTCTGACCGAAATCATTGACCGCCGAGATACGGAACTGATAGCTCGCCTCCTCTGTGATTTCGCTGAAGGTGTATTCAGTCCTAGTCACAGTCGTGCTAGTGACTTTAACCCAGCTTTGGGCTCCAACCTTCCTGCGCTCCAAGAAGTAGCCGGTGATGGGCACAGGCCGTTCACTGTCCGGTGGAGACCAGCACAGTGTGATCGATGAATCTGTTTTGTTCTGCACCGTTGGTTCAACTGGGGGATCTGGAGGGTGTTTCCTCGGTGCTGAGGTCAAAGTTTAAATTATTGTTAATAAGGTTAAAGAAAAAGAATCTCTCTACTGTAAATGTCACGAGCAATTGACCTATGGCTAAGCCACGCCCTCAAACGTGATGAGCCGATCACAGTGCACAGCTAACCCAATACACTCAGACATTCTCTGCTTCCACGTCCATTGAAATGCATAGTCAGTTTTCATTTGTTTTTTCTTGTTTTTTTTTTAGTTTAAAATAGTGAAACGGTGTGTATGGGGTACATGCAACTCCGACACTAGGTTACCGAGAGGCTGGGCGACGGTGTGTATTATTTTACCCTTTCCCAAACCACATCTCAACCGAGAAAAGTGTCTGCTCTGAATTAAGTTATGCGGTAGACCACAACAACAACTAAACGTGGATAAATTAAACAAGGATGTCTACATCTGTTCCAAGTTAAGTCAAACACGTATTAAAATCTCTAACGTAACGTTAGGCTAATGTTAGCCTAACATTAGAAAACGTTAACGTCTAGCTGCGTTGTACATCATGTCACTTAGCTTCATTAACGTATCTGTAAATAACCGAGATAACAAATGTTAACAATGTTGTGCTGAATGATTCATGTGAATACTGTAGCACCAAACGGTGATTGCAAAGATATGCGGTTTATCACGTTTACACTGTGACCTGTACATTTTTGCCTGGAGCTGGACCTTTTCATCGACCCTTTAGGTGAATTCGGGATGATATATAATCTTTCTGTCTCCAAAAATCACCAATTGCCTCCTGTAAAATGTCTCCTACTGTGACAGCTGCCGTAGCGCCTGTCCCCGAATGTTGACTGTTTGTCTGAGTGAGTGGAGGAGGCATGGCTTAGCCATCAAAGAATTGGAGTATGAAATACGAATACCATCACATACAGTAGTAGCTCTAGTGTCATACAATTTGATGCTATTCCTGTGGCAGATATGAGGTTTTTGAATCACAAGAATGCAAAAAACCTCTTGTAAAATCTTTTGGAAAGGTTTACAAATGCATTCACCTGTGACAGAGAAGCGGGTGGAGGTCTTACAGTCATGGGCGATGAAGGCCACCTCACCAGAGTCCTCCGCGGTACATTCACGAATGGTGAGTGTGTACTGTCTGTTAATGCGGGCGATAATAATTCGAGAGTCCTCTTTCAGCTTCTCCCCATTCCTGGTCCAGTATGCATCATCTACTGGTTTCTCCAGCTCCACACAGAAGATCACGGTATCGCTAACCGGCACCACTGTCCTCCTCGGCAGCTTTTTAGTGATATTGCCTGAAAATGCAGAAAAAAACATCACATGAAGACACATAGCTAACTAAATAAACCATATTGGAATGGTGGTTATGGGCTTCCTCTCAAAGATTTTACCCAGCACTGTAAGTTCGGCCACGGTGCGACTGCCTTCCTTCATCTCACAGATATAGACGGCATCATCGTTGGTGGTGACATTGTGAATTGTGAGGCGGCGCAGGGTACCCTCCACATCCATGCGGTACTTGCTGCATTCCTCCAGACGGGTCTCCTCCATAAACCAGTTAGCCTTTGTATTCGACACTGGTACCTCACACTGCAGTGTTGCCGTTTCCTTTTCCTTCACCTCAACATCCTGCAGCTTTCTCTTGAATGGAATCTTTGGCTCTGGCAAGGACATGTTGAATAAAGTGAATATACAGAAGACATACACAGTAAAGGCCCTTGCATACTGAGTCTGAAATTTTCATATGCGTTTTTTCGTTTTCGTGATTCGGGGGCTCTGAATTGTCAAAACGCCATTCAAACTGCTTGCTACGGAGGCGAAAAACACAGAAAATCGAACCCGATCCGATTTTATGATGGACGAAAGTTTCGGAGGCAGTGTGCAAGCGTGATTGTCATTACGTGAGGTCATATTTATTTTTTTAACGTGCGCAAATTTTTGGCCTTAAGGTCTTTTTAGCTGGCTGTCATAATTTTGTTGCATGTGGTTTCACATTGATTAGGTCTACAAGAACATAATGATAACTGTTAGGGTGGTTCCATATATATTATTACTAAAATGCACCAAACTTAAAAGTTTGACTTTTAACTTTCGTTAAAAGTTCAACGTTCATTTAAAAGTGAACCAGAATGGGAGAACGCTGCAAGGGACCACAATGCTTTTGGTGTTCATAATGTGTGTACCGCTAAATAAACCATACTAAAATCAAATCGTTAACGACAGTTTGTTTGTCTCTTTTTAGGTGGGCCTGAGATTATTTGGGGTGTTTACATCATATACAGAATACACATTATTTCGGCAAAAGACCACTTAAGAGTGCCTCAAATGAACTAGGTGTAATAACGTCTTAAACAAGTGACATCAGCAATGAATACATAAAGAATAAAGCTGGCCATCAAATTAAATAAATAGATTTACATTTTTATGACTTTATATGATGTTTTTGTAATTATGTCATCTGAAATTTGAACATGTTTACACAAAAACAGACTTAAATGTCATGAACTTCACTCTCCTAATCCCTACACAGAGGCGTCACAGCTTTTTGTAATGCAATGGTGGACTGGCATTCGGCTAAGTTTCTGTGACCTTTCTCTAAGGTGCCTGTGGCATGAGAGTCGAGATTAAGACCAAGGAGCAAGGTAGCAAAATACTATTGCTACACTTCTGGCTAAAATTAGATCTCTGTGTAAACATACAAAACATATACATCTATTAAAATCATTGTCTTAATGAAGGCTTAGTTAACAAAGAATTTGGATACAGATCAATGTTTAAACCCTGAAGACATCACTTGGAAAGTCACCCACATAATGGTGTCAAAAGTGAGTTTGCAACTTGCCATCACAACAACTGTGAACTAATCATCACCAGCAGAAAATAGTTGTAATGCTACACCCTGTTCAAGCACTTTGCTAAGCACAGAATGAGCTGGAAGGCAAAGATGACTGTCATTAGTTGATAAAATTTCAGTTTAAAGGTTGGTGGTTCAATCGGGCCAACTGTATTTTAACACGGTAGTTACTGTGCTGATGATCTGCCAGACTCTATAAAATAATGATACTCACCGACTTATACTTGATTTTGTAAACCACTGTACTTGTGTATTTGTGGATTTACACAGCCTGGCACCTAGCAGATTATTTTAAATACTCTCCTCCCATAAATTTTGAATCCGAAAGGGAAACTCCAACAAATGTGTGTCAGCCGCAAAAATAAATCTGTCCACACCTTTTCAGCGCCACTTTTTTCCACTGGATGCCTTTAGTAAATCCTGACAGTAGTTTTTTTAAAGCCATGAAGAGGGTGTGCAGTGGAGCAAGATCTTAGTAAATTTGGCCCTTTGTCACTTAGTTACTTTAGGAAAAGACCACCTCTGCTAAGTATGAATGCATCTGGTTGTTCAAGCCACTAATGAAAAAAGTTGCTTCCCCCAGTAAGGACAATAGCTGCTTTCCAACCAAGTAGTTACAGGAACTTAGTTATAGGAACTGTCCACTTCTAAACAGTTCTAAGAACTATTCTCCCCCAAACTCGGTTTTGCTGCTTGTGTTCGCACTGGCCAAGTGGCCATAGGAACTGGTAGGAGGGGTAACGCAAGCACGGCGATGGTCTTGCGGCCACATACAACAACAACAACAAACCAGCATGGAGAAGTTTAACCAATCAACGTAGACCTAGGGAAAGGGAACTAAAAAAGTCCTCGCTCTAGACTAGGTATAGGAACTACGGTCTGAGGAACTAAAAAATCCCCAATTTAGTCCGTTCGGAACACGAGAAAAAAAGGGTTATAGGAACGTTAAGTTCTAGGAACTGCAAAAGTCCCTCCGGTCGGAAAGCGGCTTATGACAATAGACAAAAAGGTTTTTATGGCCTACATTAGCATCATCTTATAAAAATCTAAGTTTGAACATAATGCACTGAAAATACTCAATCTACTAGCAAATGGATCAAATAAGATGCATAAATTGACCTCCAGACATTTTTCTTACCTTTGACAATCACGAGCACAGCACTATAGGTTTGTCCAGCCATGTTGGATGCATTGCAGGTGTACAGCCCATTATCGCTCTGTTTGCAGTAGAGCACCTTGAGGATGAAATTCTCAGCCTGGTCCTCATACATAACATGTCTGCGGCCCTCGCTGATGTTCCCCCCATCCTTCCTCCAGATGATCTGAGGTTTGGGATGGCCTGTGACGAAACAGCTAAGCTTTGCGTGTTTACCTTCGGTAACGGTGCATGTTCGGGTAAACACACCTTTGGGCAACATGCTGGCTAAGGCCGAAACCCTCTGCTCCGGATCCAGTTCCTCTGTGATCTTGGAAGATGATGTTGAGGAACTTTCCATGGTGCGGTAGAAAGAGATATCCTTCCGCATCTCTTCTTTCCGCTTCTGCATTTGCGAGAGGAGGGATGTGCTCTTGTCCGCATTCAGGAGACGAGTATCTTGAGGGTCCACCGCCAGAGTGGCAGCGGCCTGAGAGCGGCCCATGGAGTTCTGCACACGGCAGGTGTAGGTACCACTGTCCAAGCTCCTGATGCTCTGGATCCTCAATGAGCTGGAGTCATTTTCGGAGGTTACCTTGATGCGGTTGGTCTCACCTAGGTAGCGGCCATCCTTTTCCCATTCAAAGTTAGGTGCTGGATGGGCTGCCACACGACAATAGAAGGTAACATCACCCCCTAGACCCACGCGGGTGGAAACAGGCTTCACTGTAAACACCGGAGCACGATCTACCACAGTTTCCGGCAATCCCACCTTCAGGGTCACAGCTGCATATGCCTCTCCGACATTGTTCTTGGCACGACACATGTACTGACCGCTGTCTTCTAGAGTTAGATCGTAGATGGTAAGTCGGTAAACGTCACCATCATCGACTGTTTTGAAGCGTCCCCCGGCAGAAAGACGCAGTTTGTCTTTCTCCCAGGTTACTGCAGGTACAGGGTTTCCCACAATGGTGCAACTGAGGGAGGCGTCTCGTCCCACACACAGCGAGAAGGCCTTGGGTCGAGTTAGGAAGCGTGGAGCCCCACCAAATAGATTCTGATCCATTACTGCTTTCTGTAGAGATTAAACAACACACTTTAATAAATGTACAGAACTTGAGATTATAAAGACCCTGTCACCGTTATATCTTGCTACCCAACTCCAGAATGTTTCTGGAAAGCTGCTCCTGAAATTAGTATACTGTAAGTCGGTTTGTATAATCTGCTAATGACAAATAACCATGTCAAGGATCCTGAAATAGACATTTTGAGACATGAGAGATGCCTACTTTTAGAGATGCTCACTCAAAGCTCTCCTGTTTCCCCACCACAAATAAACTAGATAATAGTTGATTGAATGACTAGAGTCTGGTGTATAAACCTTGGGTTTAAAACAAGTATGGCCTTTTTGAGAATCCGCCTTTTTCTATTTATCTGTCAGGTGACACTACACAAGCATCCGCATGATATACAGTACGGTAATAATGCCACAGTGTTACATAAGAGCACTTTCATGCATGCAAGTTCAACAAAATTCAGGGAAAATATATTTGGTATATGTTTATATTAATATTTTAAATATATTTCAACTACTGTGAATTTATAGAGACTAAAAGTTATTTCTTAAATGCTTTGGGGTACGGTAATATATAGATGACCTCAAAGCAAATGGACAAGGATTAAAAGCCACAAACCATGGACAATTTACAATTGTCCAATTTTGACAGAACTTTACACAGAATTACAAATGCAAAAGGACCTGGGAAATCATACATCAAACTGAAATACTCATATTGGCCCTTATCTTTAAAAAAAAGGTCAACAATTTACATCTACTACCTCCAACAGAACAGTGGCTAATCTAGTGAAATCTGACCACAGAAAGTCAGTTTTACTGATGATATGAAACCCCAGTATTATACAATTAAACAAAAGGATGTTGATTTTGAAAAGCATGACATTTGCCATCTCTGACACCTCACTAGCCTAAGCTGCCTGTCCCAAAAATAGCCTCAGCTGTCGGGCTCTGTCTGCAGTATGTCCATTTGTAGAAGAGATCCGACCTGCTGTGTGATAGGACATGTATGTTTTTGTCAATGGCATTTCTCATGTACTATAAATTTAGTCTCAAAGAGGGGCAGAAGTTTTTGTCTGGGTGGATTTCTCTTTAGCAAATTTTATTTTCACAATTAAAATAATGTTTAAATTAAGACGTAATGTCAAGTCAATTAAATTTATATAGCGCTTTTCACAATATAGATTGCATCCAAACAGATTCTCAGTATCAATCAAAACTTAATAACAATGTTTGTTTCTTAGTGGAAAAATATCCACGTTTGGTAGAGCTGTTTAATGATATTACTAATGCGCCAGAAATAGGCTAACGAAACGTAATCAATTCAAACTTGTTGAGTTTGCGACTTTTCTCTATGAAATATTAACATACTAAACGGGAGTAAAGTCTTTCCTCAGATTAAAAGTTTATTACTTTCAGAATTTAATAAAATAAATAAATAAAAACGTACCTTTTTCTCTTCAAGTTAGATGGTATAAACCGGCGCAGATGTTCATAAGTATCCGATACTGGCATGCGAAAATATCCGCGTGAAAACAGGTAAATTCCGTGAAGTGTAGAGGAGGAGGACAGTGTGTTTTATCCCCCAGTGTCTTTGCTTTCTGTGTGACGCTCTTCTTTCTGTCCAACCTCCCGTTCAAAATAGATCCGTCACTTACCGGAGCAAATGTCTGACTGAGGTGAAGTAACAGTTATTGTTGAAGAGAATCACGCGCAACCTGTATGGCAATCCGTTTCAACAGTTTAGACAGTCTCCCTAGTTTTAAAAAGCTATTGTACTTTATTCAGTAACAAACTGCGCATTATTATTGCATTCGATGGGCTCAAGGTATTACTAGCCATTGCAGTAGATAATTCAGGTCAAAAGTGACAGGCAGGATAGGGGTGAATTCAGGTTGATTGGGACACTTTTTCCAAGTCATTTTATTGGCAAAATCTGTTCCAATTTACCTGTAAGAAAAAAAAAATCTATATAGGGTGAATCCAGGTTAATTGGGATCATTTTTCCATTGAAATGACTGGGAAAGTGTCCCAATCAAACTGAATATATATAGTCATTTAAAGAAATATAAAATATTTATTTACAAATATAAATCTTTTGTAACAATATACACTACCGTTCAAATGTTTGGTCAGTAATTTTTCTTTCTTTTTGTTTTTGCAAAAATTAATACTTTTATTTATGATGTGTTAAATTGATAAAAAGTGATAGTGAAGATTTCTTTTGTTAGACAAAATTTCTTTTTTTTACCTTTTATTTATCCGTTTATTCATCCAAGAATCCTGAAAAAGTATATCACAGGTTCCAAAAAAAGTATTAAGCAGCAACTGTTTCCAACACCTGTAATGAGTTGAGTATCAAATCAGTATATTGGAATGATTTCTGAAGGATCTTGTGACACCGAAGCCTGGAGTAATGGCTGATGGAAATTCAGCTTTGCATCACAGAAATAAATTACATTTTAAAGTATAATAAATAATATATATATATATATATATATATATATATATAAATATATAAATAATAAAATAGAAAAAACGTGATTTTAAATTTATATATATATATATAATTTTCCTCTAACTTTTATTTGAACAGTAATGCAAATTCAAGCGGCCCAGTTTTAAGGCCAATCAATCACCTCTGTTCATAAAAAAAAAGAAAAAAGTTCTGATTAATCTGAACTAGTTCATTGCTCAATTTACTAATAATGGACACCCTTACAAACCCTTGTGACGGTTTGGTTATTCCTCTACTGTTGTCTCATATTTTCCTGAAAAGATAGTGGGTTTTTCCCATTATCTGTTCCAGTGTGCCTGTTGATTGACAGCAGCAGATAGGCTGTGCTCACATTTAAAACTGCCTGAAACTCAAGCAGTGGGATCAGTCGAACTCTTTGGTGGTAGGGATCATTTTGCTTTTGCTAAATGTCGGGTTATGCCATGTTTCTTCATGGAAGTAGTTCTGTTTAAACTACTTACTTACAACTACTTGACTTGTTCCCCTGCATGGTGACAGATAGATTCCATCTTGCTGCAAGCTCCTTAAGATAAATACAGTTCACTGTGGCCAGAGGATGTAAAGTATGCAATATATATATACAGAATACTATAAATACATAATAACATTAGTCGTTTCTAAAAATATAAAGTGTGAATGTTTGCTAATTTTAACTCTCAGCCAAATATATTGTGTTTTAGCAACAAGATACAGTGGGGATGTGGAATGGTAAATCTCCTATATTTCCTCCAAACGTTCCATGCTTTTGTGGATAGATGTGCTAAATACTTTTTATAATAATAATAATAATAATAATACATTTTATGTATTATTGAGACTTTTGTCTCAATATTCAAATACATAATAATGCATTTGAGATTTTTTTTAAAGTATTCACTACCCCAATGCATTAATGCAGTATGTATTAAGAAAGAGAGCTAGTTAATATTTTAACTCTGAGATTAATACATTCATGCAATATCATTTAATGGATTTGAATTGTTAGTCATCTCTGTGGCTGGAAAATGTTGGCCCTCTAATGGTCAGGCAGAGAAATTGCACTTTTTTGTAGCAAACACAGCATTTAGACATTTGTGTGGACATTAATAGTTTATTATCAGTCATGTTTATAAAATATTTAATATTTATAAAATATATATTTGAAATACATTCTATAGGCACTTTTTCTCAAATTATTTTTGAAATACTCTTAAATGTTCTTCATTACTCAATCCCTTTTTTTTGGTTGCAAATCTGTTTGGTATGAAACAACCAATAAAGGTTGAATGAAGCAGCATATACTTGCATAACAACATCAATAACTATGGTCTATCTAACCAGTGTTATTAGTGTATCAAAAAAAAAAAAAAAAAAACAAAGACATTGACAGTATGCTGTCAAGTAAACATTACAACAGATTTCTTCCGAAATCTTCTCATTATAGTGCAAGTCTGAAGGTTCACGCCTCTCTGAGTTTGGTGAGCTCCCATTGGCCACCTCCACACAGTCGTAGCATGACATCATGATGCTGTTTAAAGAGCACACATAAAATAAAAAAAAATATGCACAGGCCAAACAAAAGTTCACAGTAATGTTTGTGGTGTTGTGTTGGTGAATGTGAAAAGGTCACATATAGTCACCTTTTCCAGAGTGCTTCGGTGACCCAGACTGATGAGGGTCATTCCCAGCTGCTTACAGGCCTTATAGAGCTGACCCTCAGCCTCCTCCGTCAGAGCGCTCGTGGCCTCATCCAGTACTAAATCAAACTGCACGTTTTACTCACAGCACAGGTCACATGAATGGGACTAATCTGACTGATTATAGCTATTAAAACTACAGGAAATCTGACGAGGCTATGCAGGAACTGACCTGCATATTTGGGCTGCAAGTAAAACAATCTAGCAAAGCAAAGCCTCTGCATTTCTCCTGGTGATAAAACATCATACCTGTTAAAAAAAAAAACAGAGGGAATCCCATTTTTCATGTTCTTAAAACACCCCAAATTTTTCATATGCAGATATTAAAACTCATTTCTCACCAGTTCCAGTTCACTTGTGTATCCAATCCTCCGATTCTGGTCAGAAGGTTCGACTGACATACAAAAAAACACAAGAATATGCTGCTTACAAAACAGCTTTAAAAGACAGAAAATTATAAAGAGGAAGATCAGTCATACCAAACCAACAAGTTCCAGGTATTTTAATATTCTTTCATCATCTATAGACCCTAGAAGAAGAATTTATATTGGTTGAAAGTGAGTAATGTCATTATAATCTACATTTACAACACCAGAAGTGTGCAGTTTAATTGACACACAAATGTCTTGATAAGTTCGCATTGGCTTATATAATAAGGCAAGTTTATTTCTATAACACATTAAATTAAATTACATGCATAATTTGAGCTATACTATTTAAATTAGGTTCATCTGTACCTGAGGAAGGATGTATATCATTTAATGGATAGATAACCTACAAGGGAAAGACAGCAAATCGGTGTCACTGTCAAAATGACATAAGCATATTATTGACTAACAAAATTATATGTAGATTTCTGCATTTTTTTCTTGTCTCACCTGTTCTCGGAGAGTGCCATCAGTAAGATATGCTTTCTGTGGCAGGAAGAGGACACCCCTCGGCCCAAAACATGTGGTCATACCCACAGAACCTGAAAAACAAGAAAGCAGTATGATTCAACGATGCAGATTTGTTCATCGTTTTATCTTCTGCCATCTCTTTAGTGTACCGCTGCATGGTTCCCACAGGCCATTGAGGACCCTCAGTAGGGAGGTCTTCCCTGTTCCCGTGTTTCCCACCACGAGCAGGTGCATTCCTTGACTGATCTTTAGGGTCAGGTCCTTCACCAGCAGCTCCTCTGATCTAGGTGATTTATAGGAGAGACGATCCAGAACAAACGCGGTGTCTTCTGGGACACTGTGAAGCTCTCGATCACTGATGAAGAATTATTTTAATTGTTAACAAGATTGTGACAATGATAACTCATTGGAACAAACTTTTTTTGCTTGCATGTTTGTAGCAGATTTAAATACATTGCTAGCATGAAACAGCACGTTGCTTACACGTTTTAATACACTGCTAACATTAATTAGCATGTTGCTAACATGTTTAGCGCAATGCAAACATGAATTAGCAAGTTACTAACACGTTGCAAACATGAATTAGCCTGTTGCTAGCATGTTTTAACACATTGCTAACATGAATTAACACATTGCTAGAATGAATTATCATTGATTAACGCATTGATACACAAAGATATAGCATTTACTGTGCAAAATGATTATTGTTAACTAAAACCATACAAAATTTAAATTTACAATGAAAAAATGAAAATAGAATCAAAATGGTAATAGTATATCATTGATAATAAAATAACACTGCTCACTCTGGACTACTACTGTAGGAACTCTTTTAGATCTGCGTTAGATCTCAGTTTCGAGTCTTAAAATTATGTGAACAAATCTAAACAACTTTCAAGTAGTTTAATTTACCCGTTTCAGTTTCAATCATTCAATTACCTGTCAGATTCGTCCTTTGAGAGCGTATCATACCGCTCAGAGTCACACTGTTTTTTGGCAATGTCTGCCATCGCTTCCCGCAATTCTCCAATTCTGGAACCGACAGAAAGATAAAGCAGTCAATTTTTTAGCTAACCAATAAGCTTTCATAACATTTATGCAATAAAATGTGCTTTTAAGCAATCTTAGTGCATCTCACCTGTGCGTGTATCCAGCGACATCAGACACAGTGGTTGAGAGATCGATGAGCTGTGTGAAGCAGTTTATCAGATAGATACAGACGAAAGCATTCTGAAAGAGACACGTGACGTGGATAACATTGTGGACAGCTGAGATTCACTCAAGCACTGCTGGTTGAAAGTATCTTCATATTCTGATAGCAATCACTATGTTAAGTTTCATACTATGCAGAGTTAGGGGCCGTTCACACAGAACGCGTTTTTCGATTCCAATGCGCTACTTTTCCATTATTTTTCAATGTAAACACGCTCTAGGCGGACATGTATCT